GTGTGTGTGTGTATAAAATAATATTAATAACTTAATATTAATTGGCTATATAATATAATTTATTTTGTTTCAAAAGTAACAGAGATTAAGAGATTTCTACTTCTAGTTTTAATGATATCGTTTTGTCACCAAACTTCACACTTTTTTATTGGATTCATTGATGAGCCAGGTTTGCAGTTGAATGCCTTTGAAAATGGAATAGAATTCGATAATGTTCCAATAACCCTAGGAAAATATTATATGTATTTATCAGTTTTTCAAACCAACAAAAACTTTAAAAAGCAGTTAAAAACATGATTCAAAAACAGTTACTGTCAAGATGGCTAATTTATCATATTAAAACCAGCTAAACCGCTTTTCTTGTGTTCTTCAGGTGAGCTATTTGATAATTGCTCACTTGGAAAAAGAAGGGGTTACAAGTATGTGGTATTTCGTGAAATGTAAAAGTGCATGTAAACAGTCTGGTACGCAGGACGCATTCAGGTGGCCGGTGACGAAAGAAAGACCTTGGGAAATTTGTAATTGCATTTTAATATAGGCCTATACAGGGTGTATCAAAATAAACGCAATTCATCTTTTGTGCTTAATAACTTTCGAAATACTATTTCTAGTTAAACGCATTTAGGCTTACTTCAAAGCCTGTTCTTTTCTCTTTCAAACAAACATGTAATGTAAACAGAAATTATAGCAAGCTGATGTCAGTCAGCTTAGATGGTCCAAGCCAAAATTATATCGCATTTGAAGTTTCAAACTGAGTTAAAAATAGTGGAAGAAAAGCCGTAATTATACTTATTGTTACAATCCATTTAATAAAATGCAACATTTATTTGTTTTAATGAAAAAATCAGTTATTTTCATGAGAACGATTTGTTATTCCATCTCAATTTTTTTAATCTCCAATCGCAATAACGTAAAGTATTATTACCCGCGAACCAATGAGTCAAATTTAAGAAACAACCCACTGTTAGAAAGCTGAATGGCTACGCTTTAAAATGAATGTAAACTTTAACGTTTTCGTCTATTATTTGTTTAGCAATTTACATTTCAGTCGAGGATTGCGTTTTTTTTTATACACCCTGTATATATATAAAAATAATTACCTGAAGCGTGGAGGAGCATGTACTTCGCTCAAGATAGATATATACTCAGTTTTTGGATGAGAAACACCACAATATTCCTAAACGCAATTTCATAAAATTTAGGCTAACACTGGCACAATTTAAAGATTGGACCATGACACATTGCAAATATTCTGTGTCTCTTTGACACGGTATCTGCAAATTGTTTTGCCGGCATTGTTATTCATAGATTAGAAGTATCACCTTGACATGTTGTGTATCATGCATGCATCTACTAAGGCCATCGGATAATGAATAGATAATGAATGTTTTATCGTTTACTATCCCCTATATACATCCCAATGTTAGTTCACCTGAGCATAACCAATGAAAAATAGTTGTTCATTGTTGAAAGGTAAATCTGGAAGCGATTTCTCTTCTCCATTTTCCTTCAACCAATTCTTGTACGCCTTCAAATAAAAAAGAAATTATTGCTAATCATTTGACCGACGATATCAGTGGCGTAGCCAGCTCGATAATTGGGGGGCCAATATTCATATATTCGTGTTCACAGACCTTAAAAACAATCGATTCAAAATAAATTAATAATGCAGAACACGAATATATGAATATTCCTAATTATCGATATGTCAAAAACTCAAAACAGTATAGCTCGTATAATCTGACACAGATATCCTTCATTCATATCAGAATCCAACCTCGTTCCCAGGGTCTGTCCTTTGGGATCCTGGGTACGAGGTTGATCAGAATCCTACAATAGTTCTTTGAAGTCTGGCCTGTACATGATCAAACTTATAATAAGAAATAATGCTAAGGGTAACGCAGGGCTGACGCATGCATAAGCGCCATATCATCTGCCATTTGCAGGTCCATGGTCATTTCCAGTTCTTTTTAGAATTTCATAGCTTCGTCTATCATTTAACGAACCCAGAGGACATTGTCTCCTTGCATTAGGGCATTGTCTCTTTCTTCAGTCCTCTACATGGTTTTCCCGAGTTATATCTTCAGCTTCAGTTCAAGAATGTTTTATCAAGGAATCATGCCTTCGGTTATGGTCAATTTCTTTTCGCTGTTGTATCCGTTTGGCGCTGAATTTTCTTTAAGAATATGTTCATTTCTTCTGAAATCTGACCATTTAACTTGCGTCATCCTTCTCCAGCATCACATCTTTCACATCTTCCTGACACTCTGCCAGAGGCCCCGGAACCACCTCAAAACGGTGCACGTGGGGGGGGGGGACTGACCAGAAAGGGCACTTGAGTCAGCAAACATCCTGCTGAAATATGTTAGATGTGTCCTTAGAAGGTCTGGAGGTTTGGAGGTATGCAATATACAGCCTCGGATATCAACTGAACATGAACACATTCCACCAATTTAAAGAGACCATTTTTTTTAATTAATACGGCAATTTCATTCAGAATTGCCAAAAAATTCAAGTCTCCGGTCGTTATGGATAACAAAGTCTTTAGCGATCAACTGACTTAAGTTCAGTTCATCAGTTCTGTCCTTGTTTACGTGCCGATAACAAATCAAATAAGATTGCAGTAAAAAATAAAACATTCCCGGGCAGACCTCTGAGAACACAAATAAATTGCGATTTGTGATTCGTCTACGCAATCAAGATAAAAAGTCAAGCTATAAACCCTGATTTGCATGGTGTCGATTCACTCTATTTTACTTGTTTCTTCCTAAAAACGTACACTACCCTAACGATACTTTTGGTTTCTGCCAACAGGGCATTTGTGGACTTATTAGCTTAAGGAGGCATTTATAATTCCTTCTTAATTGGCTGGAAAAAAGGGCACTTTTATTCCACATAAAGGGCACATTTTCGCCTTGCACAAAAAGTGTGTGTGTGTGGGGGGGGGGTCATCTTCCCTCAATACCCCCAGTTCCGCAGCTTCTGCTTCCAGCCTTAATGTATGTTTCACAAGCATGTAAACAAACGCTGCAGATTAATGATTTTATCAATTTTTTTATCAAATTAATACTGCTAGCTCAGGATGTTGTCAAAATCATTCAGTCTTTTCTTTGAATTTTTCTTTGGCACTACCAATCCTTCTTCTGATTCCTTTTGTTGATTTCCCGTCTTCTGTATAAATGACACTCCCAATGTAACAGAATTAATTAACTTCTTGAGGTATGATGTCACATTTTCTCATAAATTTGTCAATTTGAGTAATTTTACCCCAAAACTTTGTGTCACTTTTGGTGTACTATTAAGATTTCAGGTCAAAATACTCTTAGCTCTTTAATTGTTATAATACGTTAATTATATTTCCTTGTTCATCCCATGCAAATACATTCAAACCTCAGGTATTAAATTCCCTTACTTTAAAATGAGTTACATCCGCATTTTATTGTTAATTATGTATTTTACTAAAATAAATATATATGACCAGTTCGAATGCCTTATTGAAGAATTACTATCAATACAACTAAACCCCTCTGGGCTGCTATTGCGTATCTCTCCGGCTGCTCTTAGTCAAACATTGCATGACCAAACAACAGATATTTATCTTTTGTCAAGCAACAATGGAACATGGAAAACTGGGATTAATATGTTAACTAGCATAATTTTATGCTATTCAAATTATCATGTGCATGAAATTTTTTCATATTGCCCCCAATGTACTTCACCAATCTACATACATCTTTACTCTGGCCGGTTACAGCAGAGGATTTCGCTGTTTCCACATGCTCACAGAAGAAGAAAACCTGATGCAGAGCACACAAAAGAATCAAATGATAATATACTGTATACAAAAAAGCCGAATATATAACCCTCAAGATGTTTCTCATATCAAATTAGGAAAACAATCCGATAAATCGTAAATGGTGTGAGTGAAAGATTGTTGTGAAGTGTTTTGTGCGGAAGATTTTTATATCAAAAAGTTCCGAAGTGTAAAAACACACTCACAGTAATTATCACATATTGAGATAAAAAAGATCACAAAAGCCCGAAACCTGTTCAGGTGCTAACAGAAATTCTCGAAAATGAATGTAAATCTCATTAGTCATCATGTTACGTTTACATTAAAAAAATGGCTGGACCAAGGCTGGCCAGTGGCCACAATTACACGACATGCAACATGGGCTATTTCTGGTGCTAACGCTCGAATGAAATGGTTGAAATTTTAAATTAATATGAAGATTCAAGAAATGGATGGAGATGCGTGACGTCGAACGTAAAGATGAGGATGCAATTTTAATGTTGACAAGTTAGGCGTGAGAAGCCATCATATGGGATACTGAATCCCATCTTTGGCTGTTTGAAAGTGTGAAGTAATCTTTAATCCATACCGATCATGTTATCGTCTAGCTCTTCAAAGTATCAACCACGATATTCTACACTTATAAGGCTCATTGGCTAATTAATCTTGTCTTAATCTGGATTAGTATACTTTATCAACTTCAATGATGGGAACGCTTGACAACATGCAACTAACCAGTCACTGAAGGTAACACACTGTAAGGGTTTTTTCACTAAGTGATCATGAAACATTTTGTTCATGACAAAAATTGTTCATGTGCGCTCAAATTGTTAAAATTTATCTCAACTCGTGCTCAAATACAATAAACATGACATAAAAGACTTGAAAGTAATAATAATAGAATAATAAGCCAACACAATAGGTAACTGGATGAAAAGGAGAACTATGGAATTCCCAAAGCGATGAAACAAACAATGGAACATTCCGATCAATATATGAATCGTGAATTGTTATGCAAGGTCAATTTAAAAACTCCAATAATTTGTGAACAGATTAAAAATATGCGAGGAATGTAGTTGATTTGCAAGATCGCCATATTCAACATTCCGTTAAAATAATAAAAAAGCACTAATAAGTTGATCCGGATTTAATTATTGTCTGAAGATAATCCCTCTTGAACTAGATCCCTTGTAGATTGGTGACTTTTTCAGCGTTTTTATCATGTCATGAATAAGTCATGAATAATTCATTTTATCATTTGATACAATAAACCACTGTATATAATGAGTTATGTTTTTATCACAAAAAGCATTTTAATGGATATTTTTTATTTTCATTTAGTATTTTAGTGTAATTGTGAAAGTCGTTTAGTGAAAACGGAAAATGGTTAAATGTGATTAACTAAAGCAGTAAAGGCTGTTGAATTTAAGCCACTTTAATAGTGTATTAATGTTCATCAAAATCAGTATACTTAATCAAATGGTCTCCGACTTTGATCTAGTGTGAACCGACCAGGCTAAATATAGTTGAGTATTTTTCCTGTTTTTTTTAGAATAAGCATGGTCAGTTTGTATCAAATATCTTGTAAATCGGACATAGTCTAGGAACAATTAAGGCAGGAATATTTCTAGAAATGTTCTCTTTCTATATAAAAAAAAAATACTGAGAAACGTGTTACGCAATAGACCTTTATAAAAAGATTGACGTCAGCAGGATTGTGACGTAGTTTGCGGAGGAAATCCCGAAAGCTCAGAGTTGTTTACTTGTTTTGAGTTTTTTAAGAGCCAAAAGAAGCCAGTATTATGGTAAGTTTGAAGTAAATTTTTCTATATATAGGCCAAATGAGTTTTCATATTCGTTAGAGTTTAAATTTTATTTGATTTTATATTAGATTGTACATTTATTTTACTGTCAACATTCAGCAAATTGTTCGCTCGGTCTGTTTACATATTTCTTTGCTAAAAAGTAGAATTTTTCTATTTTGTTTCTCGAATTCATCAGTCTAATCATCAGAATGGCCCCAATCAAGCTATAGACAGCAATACACAGGCTCAGTGATCGTGCAAAGAGGTACATAAGTCATAAGTGAACTTAGACATATAAACTAAGACTAATGCACCAGTCAATGTAAATCCCCCCCCCCCAACCGGGGAGGGGGCGGGGATTTAGCGGGGAAAGTGGTCAGTTTTTATGGTAAATATGTCCCCGATGATGGGGGACTTGGACAACATTTTCTCTTTCGGTAGACGATGCGGGGAAGAAATCGGGGGGATGGATTCAGTGGTTAACATATATACCCTGTGTTGCTGTTTTAGTTTTCTTTACAAGAAAAGTTTAAATACAATAACATAAATGAATTTGATTTTCTATTGCTGATCTATGAAATATATACAAAACTATTTTCCCGCGGTTGAGAGACATGTGGGGACATTGATTAATTACGCTTTCCCCGGGGGCGGGGACAATTTCGCTCTTTTACTACCCCTCTAAGTCAAAATCCCCGCCCCTCCCCGGTTGGGGAGAGCGGGGGTTTACATTGACTGGTGCATAAGTCTATTATTTTATCGATAAATAGTTGAAGTGAACATACATGACAAGTTATCAATCGTGTATAAAACTTTCCGTGCCATCTGGGTCAACAATCTAGCTTTAATTTCCTATCAAGGTTTTGCCAGGTTGGGCCATTCTGATGATTAGACTGATGAATTTGAGAAACAAAAAAGCCGAAAAAAGAAACTTTTTAGCAACGAAATATGTAAACAGACCGAGCGAAACAAATAAGATTTAAACTCTAACGAATATGAAAACTCATTTGGCCTATATATAGAAAAATTTACTTCAAACTTACCATAATACTGGCTTCTTTTGGCTCTTAAAAAACTCAAAACAAGTAAACAACTCTGAGCTTTCGGGATTTTCTCCGCAAACTACGTCACAAGCCTGCTGACGTCAACCTTTTTATAAAGGTCTATTCTGGATCTCTGTTTGGTTTCCCTTCCAAATACTGTAGTAAAAAAATTCACTCAGTTTCACACAAATTTCACCCGAGCATTCTCCACAGGCATCTTAATAGGGGATCACTTTGCGTTGTCTGTAATCAGGCCTGGTCTGTAATATATTTTAATAATATATAATATATTTTCAACATAGCAGCTAAATAAGATCCCAACTCCCTAACTCCTAACCCTTTAATAAAACACGAGAATCACACGAACTAGGGTACACGTGTGGGAGGATTAGAAAAACAGATTCAGTTGGAATGAATAAATTTCAGCTATTTAATAGGATGCCGGGAAGAAAGCAAGTCTCACCTATGTCTATAAAGTGTGAAAATGAAATTTTAAAATAAGTTTAAGCTTGAAAAAACTTACATAGTATGACAACTTTGTTCCTCCGTTATCTGCAATGTTTTCACCTAGAGTAATTTTACCATTGACCTAAATTGATTAGAAAATATATACTTGAATAAAAGAAGTGCTGTGATTGGCTAATAAGTGCAGGGCACAAGCTGGTGAGGGTATCATGCAAGGGAAGTTATTTAGTTTGAAATTATTTTTGTATAGTCTGTATTTTGATTGTAGTGCGTTCGCCATGCCGTTCAGATTTGTTGACCAGTGAACTGTCAAAACGCACCGGATATTTATTTTGTATCTTGTATCTTGAGTATTGCTCCTCAATACAATGTGCTCTTCTATCAAATTCTTTAAGTGCGGAAGAATGCCACCATTCACCAATGATATTACCATTTTTGTCAAACCGTCGACCTAAAATTTAAAAGAGAAACGTTGCGTTGCTCAATAAATTTTGATATAATTAATTTCGAATTGAGACAAAAATTTTCTTTAATCAATTTCAACTTCAGCAGTTGACCGTGCAACAATGTTGTTGAAAACAGTCCTGAACAATATTTTGCTGCCCTGCTTATTGTTCCTGGTTGTTAACAATATTGTTCAGCACCATTGTTCAGTCTGAACAATATTGTTTACAACCAGGAACAATATGGGAAGCAAAACATTGTTCAAGCTTGTTTTCATCAACATTGTTACAAGCTGGGCGTTTTTTGCAGTGTAGAATCGCAGGGGCGGCGCTAGACTTCTTTGAATGGGGGAGTGTAAAGCTCCGTTTACACTATACGCTCAATTTTTGGTACGGTACGGATAAAATTGGTACCCGTACCACTTTTTTGGTTCTTGGACTACCTATTTAGGTAGTCCAAGAACCAAAAAGTGGTACAGTACCAAAAATTGAGCGTAGTGTAAACGGGGCTTAACTGCTTAAGTGAATTTTGCCGAGTTATCAGGGGAAATTTTGCCGAGTCACTACAACCACTAATTAATATTTTCCCCAAAAATTGTTGGCGAGCGTGGGGTACCGGCGGCTCAACATAAAACAAAATTTCCGGACACCATATTTGCCATCTTATTTTAATTAACTGCCACCGTTGTTCGTTCCATTTTCCCTCATTTTCTCGTAAATTTCTCCACATTTTAGCCATCATTCTTTAATTTAGTCAGTGTCAGTGTATTTTATGGAAATTTTAGGAAAAAATTCCTTCCTATCCAAATTCATGTTTTGCTGACTACGAAAACAATTTGCCGACTGAGATTCAACACCCCCCTTTAGTGGCGGCCCTGTAGAGTCGGGTATAGATGGCCATTTTCATTGCCCCTGGCGAACTTGTGGGGGACATAAGAACTTCACATGACCAGATGAACTCTCTTCCTTCTGCCTTTCCCAGTGAATAATTAATGAAGTCATCTACCATATGGCCGCCTCAAGTCTCATTAACTCGATTAAATTCCGAGCTCGAGATTTTTATGAGCTATACGAATCCACTATCACCTCATAGAAATCGAGAGGGAGTAATCTAATAATTGTTTCAGTAGAATCAGAGATCAAATTTAAAATATTCCACAAAATAATTTAATAATTCAATACTAACGCGCCAATTTTTAAAAATGCACCAGGAAATGATTGTTTTGTTACTCGACTCGCTATCTATCGAGGAACAGATAGCGAGTAGAGTACCATATCCAATAGTATATTAGTATGATTCTTCTAAAACTCATTAGAAGAGGTGTGGGAAGCTATTTCTTTCAAGTTACGAAGAAGATGTTTGATTGGTAGTTTAACTAATTTAGACACGTAACGATTTGATTCCTAAGGAATCACTGCTTGAAAAAATCTCGGTCTCATAAATATTCCGCGGGCTAGTTCAAAATTAATTCCCTGGGGCCGGTTGTATAAAACTCTTAATCACTTTTTTAATCACTATTTTGTAGTTAAATAGTGATTAACTCTCAAATAAGCACTTCTTATTGGATGACGTTTCCACTAACTATAGCTAACAGTTTAATCACTTTTTTATACAACCGACCCCTGGATTCAAAAGGCTACATCTCATCCCTGTCACTTACCAGTATTATCAAAACCATGAGTGAGCTCATGACCAATAATGGATCCTATTGCTCCGTACGTAAGAGATCTAATATATAAGTACAAGAGTTATTTAGTAACTCCTCATCGACAAATCCCAATTCAACCAGGGCGTCGTTTTAAAGGGAGGTAAATACGTGCTCAGATATTTCTATTATAGACAATTGAATCGAAAAACATCAAATTTGGGATTAGTAAAATAATGTCGCACATATATTACACATCTAAACATATAAGCTGTTACCTGGGAACACTTCCGGTGTAGTAAAATGGCGGTCTTAAAATTCCTGCTGGAATGACTAAAAGAGAGTAAAAATAACTACAATTAGTCCCGCTATGTAAATTCAAAATTATTATCATTTCTTTAGAAATTGATTGTTTTCACAGTCAATGAACACGAAACTATTTGCATATCGGGACTAAATCGTCGGGCTGGCTACGCTACTGTACATGAAGTATTACAAATGGATACACCATTAGTGGAGTTGTTTTTATGAAATGGTTTGCAATTGTGAATAAATTGTTATGGTGGATTCAGGATTCTTGTTGTAATTCGTGCGCAGAAAGAGTTGCACTGCCTCTTTCTTGATACTAGGTGGGAAGAAGAAGGACACTGTGTAGAGGGAGATACTGTTGAGTTTGTAGTTCCACCTTGAGCAATAATGAATCAAAGATGGTTCTACGTCTCAATATGTGGCGTTTTTAGTCGAACAACCAGAGAACGATTGATGATCTTCGATGTTTCAAACGACGGCTTGGCTCATCGAAAGGATGTCAGTAGGGGCAGACAGTCGTTCTCCAAGCAGTTCTTTCTTCCGATTCCTAGGTCCATTAATACGACTGTATACGATATGCCCCCATTTGGATTGTAGACCTGTCCAGTTTAGTTTTGTTGTTCTTTTTGCAAAATATACTTTGATATTTCATTGTGAATGTGGAGAAAAGAAAGTCATCTTCCATACCTATCTCGTTTTCATAAAATTGATACATCGCATTTATAGTTTGAGGAAACATCGGCCACCTGCAAGGAAGGAATCATAAATGTTTAAAACTTTCTCCACAGGCGGAAAAAGAGTGAAATAAGATTTGAAAAAAGGTTATACATTTGTTCAGTTCAATTTTATCTGATGTTTGTAAATAATATAAGCCCTGATCGCTTTATCTAAACGCAAGAGCGAACTGAGATGCATTCCAAAGGATAATTTAAAACGGGGGATAATTTAATTAAAACGATATACAGAAAAAATATAAAAATCCACATGCCGTTAGACCAGTCACTCATAATATCGACGTTGACATCATTTCACAATATACTGAATTAGCAAAGAAATAGTGTTTGTACGTACTTTTCTGAATCGACGGTTTTTCGTAATTTTGCAAATAGCCGTCGTCTCACCCACTTGTCAACATTCACATTATTCCAGAAGAATCTCTTTGGGTCAACTTCAAGCTAAATATATAATCAATTTGCAACAATGTTTAAAAACAGCAAGACGTCCCCAATACGGACATCACAAAATGCAGAGCAATTCTTCACCGAAAAATTGTACTACACACACAAAATGGTGATTCTACTATCTTGTGAATGTATTATTCTGTATGGAGCTACCATAAGCATGCACCTAACGGCTGACATGACTTTGAACGCATTGACATTTGGGTACTTATATTTCAGCACTGATAGGTATTACTGCCCTGGTTAAAAAATCCTGCGAACGGCCCAACCTCGTTCCCAGGGTATTTGCTCTTGGTATTTGGTCTTTGCTTCCCAAGAGCAAATACCCTGGGAACAGGTTGCGAACGGCCCTGTGCAGTACGTACAAACAACTAGTACTTACCAATTTGAATCTCTTTCTAAGTGATTGTCGATTCTTGACGTAAGCAGCATATCCCACTTTACTGACAATAGAGTTTGCCTTAAGGAAAAAGAATATGACTACCGGCGTCCAGAGTTGCCAAGTGGATTTGGGGTAAGTATTACTATAATAATACTATTTCTGAAAAAATAATCGGGGGGAAAATCCCAATCACTTTACAAAATCCCAATTTGGGATAAAAACTCTGCCAGCGTAAAACAATTAATTTTAGAAAATTCTATCGTCCAAGGTCGAAAATTAAACTGATTTGATAGTAGATGTAGACGTTCTCGACATAAAAAACGCTTGGAAAAACTTAAATTGAATTAAATATTCATCAGAAAACACATTGCCTACCATACCTTATCCAATATTCCTTTAGTTGTTTTATTGTCAATCCAGTCATGATACGTGACTCTGTGTTTAAATACATCCAAAATCTTATTTATCATGGCCGCAGTCTGAAATAAAATGTAAATTCAGCGTCTAAATACAATATACATAAACATGATATACAAGCAGTGGTATTGGCAAATTGGCAATCATGTATAGGGTATGGTATATGTATGTATGGTTTCCACAAAGGAGTTGATCACTTATTTCAATCCTAATTCGTCATCCAAACTAAGAAGTAATTATACTGGCAAGCAAACTAACTAAAACAATAGGCTGGCAAGTAAATGAAAGGATGATACAAAAAAGTAAGATTTCTGAAGAAAGACAGTAGCATACGGTACCAATACTGCTCAGAAATAACCTAACACACACTCATGCGTCCCCAAACTTTTTCGTTTCCAACGGCAACGCATCCGAAATGAGTTCTAGTTTGAGTAGAAAGCATCTTGCACTGGTATATAGATGGCTTTCATCGTATTCCAGTTAAGTGCACGTAGAGAGCATTTAAACAAAATAATCTCAATGGAATCTCATTATTTGACCTCCATCTGCCTTTGGTTCAAGTCTAGTGTGATTACTTGAAACCCACCTACATAGGAATGCAAAATGAATTACGAACGGGTCCTGACGGTTATTCAGCAAGAACAGTACTGTATATAACATCCATTCTTTTTAGCTTTCAAGTAGCTGTGCATTGTTAAAAGTGAAAACTGTCTAAATAAATAAATAATTGGTTACCGTATTGACTCTTGAATCATCAAAATATTTCCTGATATACAGACTCCCAATAGGAACTCCCATGTTGTCATTAGTAATACTGGTACATGTTCTCCAGCGATCTTCACTGTCTTTCACTCCAGTTATGTTATTATTGAAGTCAGAGCGAGCTTTACGGAACGGTTTAGACAGAAGACCAACCTTTTCTCTTATCATTTGCCAAGTGACGTAGTTTGATAGCAACCTAAATAAAACCACTGTTGTTTATAATATTTTATACAAAAGTCAAAATAACATAATAATGGAAACATCCACTCCAGTTTAACTGCATGGAACCATGCGGAAAAATTGAAATCCACTCTACGGTCTATGGAAATAAAATTCGCATCACTAAATCCAATGTACTGTATATCCACACTATTTCCATTCATGCTATGAAAAAGATAATTAGTACTATTTGTGGCAGGGGTGGCACCGAAAAGAAAAGGGTTGGATAAACAAAATGTATTGTCATTTATTGTCATGACATACTCAAATATTGAAGATAATAAAGCAATATGTTAATTTCCTTTTCGGCCCTTTTCCGATTTGTCAGGAGGCAAAAGTGTCTCCAAAGAAAGTACATGTGCACACAACATGAATCCTTAGATTGCAGAAAATTGCACAAGCAGTTTTCAAACTCATGTCACAGAAGTGTTAAAGGACATGTGCATGAAATAGCAGAATTGTATCCTTTTGTAACGTAGTGGCCAGGGTGAGTATTTATTTTTTAATTGGTACTTGAGGTTGGATAAAATGGTTGGAATAACATCATTTTTATCAAGAAAAACATTTCTCTTCGGTGCTCACCACCCGCCATAAATATTAACCGGTCCCTAAGCATTTGGAAAACGGAATTGCTGAGAGAGAATTGAAACATTTGAACGAGTTGCTGACGTGTTTGTGCGTTGGTCACTGGTAAAAATTTAAGCCCTCTCACGATATATTGGATGAGTGAAAATACTTGCTCTGCAGGCTCGTGTTCCCTGTGCAATTTCTCGTTATACCCAAACTTGTAATTACGATAAATGTTTTTTAAAGTCTAGTTGCATTGCGACGATGTATAATAATGTAAAAATGCGAAAGGATAATGAGTACATACGGGTCAGTGCTTTGTAAGTAAGCAGTCTTGACTAATGAATCTGTTGAGGTTAAATCTCTTTCCTTTAATTTCCCGGGCATTTTGTAATATAGTTCACCATATGCGCTGCGAAATGGCTTAGAAAGGATATTTACTTTGTTACGAATCATTTGCCACACCAAATAGTTTGAAAGTGTTCTGAAATAGATAGAAAATATACCCGTTGGAAAATTGTTTTTCTGTGCAGTATTATGGAATATTTCGTTTATTTGTTTATCATTAACTATTAGGCCGAAATCGTTAGTAAGGTTTTATTTGTTCCATCTGTTTGTACAGAAAACCACTGTCCTTTGAGTAAATTTTCACCACTGTACCTAATAGAAAATTTGAAACAGTGAGGTCAATCCTGCACAAATTTTTGTGCTCAACTGCATATCTGTACCCTCTAGTTAAATTCAATCAGAAGTAGTTGAGGTCTTCACCAAATAGACATCAATCTCGTCAAAAATGCAGTAATAGTGTTAACTACTTTCACCTGACTAAGAATGTGTGTAGTTTGATTGAACTAAACCATGCATAGACTATTGGACACCTAAAGCGGACACTTTGCCTTTTCTCTAACAACATTCTAAGCAATGCGACGCAAACAGTCTGCTTACCTTTTTTGTGTGTGTTTGATGAGTTTCGTAACTTGACGAAGATATTTTGGTGACGTTGCCAACACAACATCTGTCTTGCTGATGTGAGCACCAGGAAAGATATACTTTAAATGTTGTAACCATGGAAACTAAAATATATAAAAGGTTCACGACATATTTACCAGAAGAGTTGGCTGGTTGATGAAATTCATCCACACCAGTTGAGGAAATTCATGCACACCTTCGTGCCAGTTTCTGCATACAAATTTCCACATGTTGTCCATCATTATTTTACTCCATGAAGTAAATTGAAGTTCGTATTGGTCTTCTTTGATTGAAGATTAAGTTAGTTACCATTTGCTATTTTGCTCCCTATTCTGCTGTCGGAGGTCAAGGATTTGGGGGAAAGGAGGAAAAGAAGAAGAGGTAAGAGAGAGAGGAATACTAAAGAAAGGTGGAAACAATGGGGGAACGAAATGGTGGAATGTCAAGGGTTTGGAGTAAAAGAGAAAAAGAAGAAGAGATAAGAGATAAAGAAAGAAAGGATAACTAGAGAAAGGTGGAAACAATTGGTGGAGTGCAGGGGAGGAAGAAATGGTGGAAAGTCAAGGGTCTGGAGAAAAGGAGCAAAAGAAAAATGTGGTAAAAGAGAAAGGAAAACTAGACAATGTGGAAACAATGGGGGGAGGAGAAATGGTGGAAGGAAAATGTATGAGAGTGCAAGGATAGAATGCAGTTCTTTATGATGTTTATACCATTAAAAAAAGTAACCCTTCAAAAACTTAACCCTAGAAACTCTAGAGAATAACACCACTGGAATTAGGATACTATTATTGATGCTATGTTAGGATCATTTACAACGAGGTTACCTGTGGTACACGATGGATAAGTTCCTTGATCTTCATCCTGCGGTAAATTCCGTCAGCTTTGTCCTCGGCAGACGCAGTAATCTAAAATGTAGGGAGGTTCTTTTAAGTGGGTTCCAAACGAAGTTGTCTATTTGGGCATGTATTAAAATTTAAAGGAATGTCTGAATCTCTAACAGTTGGTAAAGAAGATTTATAAAGGAAGAGTATTAGACTACACCGGAGCTAAGCTCTTACACTTTTCTTGTTTGTAGCAGTCCTTGATGCTCTGATAGAATTAACTGGAAAGGAGTGAATTTGGGAACTGCCGTGCCCAGATGATCGGTTCATTTGAGAAAGAACCAAACTGCCAAAGGAAATCTACAGCGAATGGTATTGAGTTGCAGAATAACACGGTAAGAAGGATGAAGATTAGGTTTGTGCTGTTTATTGGATAAATCAGGAAGATGCTAATAAACACCACATTGGCGAGACCGGTTACAATGCTTGATAAGAGACGTTGGCTTTGAGAGGGAGAGCTTTGCAGCTGGATAGGACAGAAATGCTGACTGCCAACGTTGTGAGTCTTATGAAAGTGAAACCAGGTGAATATTGATCTCCTTAGAGTGACTACCATTTGTAATACATCCAGGTACGTACATGTGCAAGGTTTGTTTCAAATTCCATCACTTGTTTCATATGTAGTTTAGCAATCTTGGGATTTGCCCCAAGAAGCACAGCAACTTTCGCCATGTAGTCTTCATATATCTTCACCATCTTCAAAAGTAAAAATACATTTGAATATCCACGGACAATTTCAAATCACATGCAAGCAATTCAACAGCGACTGTTAGTTAACGATTGTACAGCAATGTCGTGATCACATCGCTCTATCTGCATAAACAGCATTTGATATTTTCTGGAGCAATTTAATAAGACAAAAAGGAATCATGACCGGTCATGTTGTTTTTTGCAGTACCTGAAGCCTCATGTTTTCCAAATGTATCGTGACGAACGTGTGTCCTTGGGAGCTCTCAAAGAACAATTGAAGTGGAAAAATCACCTGTGTGATTCTTATTAAATTGCAATAGCTTGATATACACTCTCAACTCTAGTACCGACGTACATCACGATATTGGGTAAGTTTTGCAGAGTACCTGTAGTTAACAGAGTTTCACTTTTATATTAGGCCTAGCTTAGACTAGAGAAATTGTTTATCTATCTGTGTCTGTAATAAACTTATTGGATGCCTAACTTATAACCATCTTCTTACCTCAGGATGCTTGAAATATATTTGTCTTTGCAAACTTAGTCCAGATTGTTCAACCTAGATATGAATTAAATATACACATGAAGCAACAGTAAACAATTTTGGCAAGGTTAAGCTGACAGTCTCAATGATCTAACAAATCTTACCTTAATTAGATGCCTCGTTGAATTTAAATGATCATTGGTCACTTCAACAGAAAAAAACGGTGAAGCTGGATAATATAATTTTTGAATATGTTTTAAAACTTTATAAATATTCCATTTTGATGCTCGCCAATACGTTTTTCCAGCTACGGCCCAAGAACCAATACTGTCGATGAAATTAAGCATGGGTACTGGCCCTAATCGTTCTATCTCGTTCACATCCAGCGGCGCGCCTCGCGTGCTCAGGAAAAAGTAAAAAACGTACCATCCTCGTCCCCAGGGCCACGCTCGTTGCTCCACTGAGCGAGAGCAACGAGCGTGGCTCTGGGGACGAGGATGAAAACGTACAAGAAACGTTGCGAGACTTTTTATTCTGGATTATATTTAAGTATTGTAAACTGTTTTAATACGATTCTATAACGATAAAAGTTATAATATATCGTGTAGAATATACTCGGTTTAAACTGTAACAGATTTTGTGAGTTTTGTCGTTAAGATCCATAGATATGGAGGAATGTATAACGTAACTGAGGTTACAGAAAAACGGATCTATGACTATGAAAGAGTATGCGCGCATGAGTATGAGATTTGATAGAGTTAATGCAGGGTTGTGTCTGATCAACCAGCCATGATGAAGAATCTTAGGTAGAAGATATCAACAATTGTAGAGAAATACCTGTAAATGATAAGATAAGAAGAAAGATCCGCATGCATGTCATGCATGGCATTCAATAAGGAGGGGAGAATGATACTGTTGATTTATCTGAAGTAATTTAGCATATATGGTGGAACAATGCCTAACAGATATTTATTTACAATTTTATAGATATTTATTTATTTCCGTCTATATTATAATCTAGAGAAATTAGTTATATGCTTGTGTGATGCTACTCTGAGTGTATATCCACACCGGCCTGGCTTGAAAAATATGCCTGGTGGGTTTCGAACCTAGCTCAGTTGGCAGAGCATTGGGCTAATATTCTAAAGGTCGTAGGTTCGAATCCCACCGTGGCCTGGCATATTTTTCAAGCCTGCCCGGTGTGGATATACACTCAGAGTAACATCACACAAGCATCTTATTCACCTGAGTACATTACACCAACACAGCAAATGTCAAAATTAGTTATAGTTTTGATAATAACTTGTTTGTTTCAATGCCTGACTTTAAATTTGGATTAATTAATTTCGCTGCCCGTCGCTGAAGTTTTTCTAACGAATCAATATTTCCCTGCCCGCATCCTTGCCAAACTACATCACAAGAATCTCTTACGGGCAGTACCTTTTTACGAATCTGATGCAACATTCGTAAAAAGGAAACTAATTAGTTATAAAGAAATTGTTCTTATGGGGTAATAAATATTAAAATTTAATGAAGAACTTTAGAGAAATAATAATTTATTTCTATCTTTAACTTCTTGGAACTACATCACAATATCATGTCATTTTCAATATTTACTCTTACAATTCTGTTTTTAAAGAATTACGTCGCCTTCTTTCACACTTTCGCACTCTTGTAAGCACCATTTGATCTCAAAATAGTCTTATCGTTACACCTTCGCCACAAGAAATTGTTCTCGCTTGACATGCACGCAGTTAGTTTCATAACACTATACCTAAACGATGTAAATATTATTGGCTAAGATTTTTGCAAATATATATCTTAATAATTATTAGATATTGCTCTTTTAAGAACATTGTTATTTCTGTTCCAGGAATGACTGCCCACCATCCTTACTGGCCATCTTAACGTGAAATTCTTTCATAGTATTTTCTAGAGCTTGTTTGTTTCCAGAGAAGTAGGCCGTTGTCGCGTTATGAAATAGCAGAGTTGTCTTTGCATTACTTTAACCTGCAACATAACAAATTACAGTGAATGAAAATCTAAGATAATTGTAATTGGATATATGCACAGTAGCAAAAAGAAACTGATGGAAGATTTTTTAAGATGAAAGCTGAAACGTTTGCTCGACCACGGTGGGAATCGAACCCGCGAGGTCAAGTCATGAGTACCATACCTGTATTGTAGTAAAACTAGTCATACTGGAATTCTATAGGGTTGCTGGTCCCAGAGCACCAATAGTTTTCCCAGTAGTCTTAAATACCCACTAGAAATTTCATGCAACCATGAACAAACAAAAGATAGGCCGTCTCACAACCTCACTATACACATTTACAGTAGGTCAGTGACACATGCTGGCAGAGAAACCTATCTGCAAATGACATGCGAACTTTCTAATACACCCTTCCAGAAAGTACATCACTTGAGCTATAAAGCTTCGTTTTTGTGCATCTGACATTATTTAAAATCCACATCTCAATCACGAGAACGAGGTGCTATAGCCAAGGTGACATACTTATTAAAACTGCCCAGTAAAATTAGTCGAGCAAGTTTAAAAAAGATATAAACCTGGTGTAATTTACTGCAATAACAACAGTAGATGTTTACCTTATTTTCTTCTAAGAACTTCAACTTTACGGTAAGATCATTTCTAATTCGATCATATTTTGCTTTTTGCTTCTCAAATTCCTTCTTCGCTTCTTCAGCTTTAAATGTTGCAGCCGAAGATGTTGGTGTTATTTGTGCGTAATATTGATGATCAGATCTGTATAAATGTTCAAGTACTTTTTCTGTGTCTCTTTAAGGACTGCAACCTGACTTTCCAATTCTTCATCGACAGTTCTCGATCCTTTACCAAACTTTTCAGACAGAAGTTGTCTGGTACATTTATACGTAGATATACTCCATTTCTTGAAGTTGTCCATCTTGGCTGCAGCATTGTTTTGTACAACTGCAGTTCCTTTACCTTCACCCATCAAGCTGCTGGAACTACTTCTTGCCTCGGGGTAACTGCTGTAATGAGGTCCTACAAATTGAACAGGTTGCAAACTTATAACCCAGGACAAAAACAATAAATAAACACTGCCTGGACCAATTCAGTCACCTAGAATGTCAACTTTGGAAGAGAATATTATTAACCCATTGAGTGACAGCAATCTCCCCCTGATGAGTAAAATCGTCTGGCATAAGACAGAGTAAAATAATCTGGCATAAGACAGAGTAAAATAATAAAATAGGGCGCATTGCCACTTAAAGGGTTAAGTAACAAAAAAGCAATGTTACATTTGACCAGTTGGGGTCAGTGAAATGGAACTCTACTTGCCTATCTTTTTCTTAAAGCCAAATCTGACCCCCAAACATGTGTGACTGGGGGTCAAGACATGCATGTTTATGCTTTGTGATTCACTCACAAGACCAATAAAAAAAGTGAATTCTACTAGGATGTTTTACCTGAATAAATGCATTGATAGAAAGCTTTGAGCATTAATTTTGAGCACTGTTAAAAAGCTTTTTTGTTCATTTTAAGCCGGTTTTCAAGAATACATGTTCATGGATTGACCGTGCCCTTCGCATGTGTGAAAGGACTGGGATTGGCTTTCAAGTTTGGCTTAAATTTCTGGTTGGAGGTAGCGTTCCAAATATATTAATTTCACTGGTTGGGGGGCATCAAGCAATAGGGACATGACTAAGAGGCAGGTGCCTGCTACAACATAGACACTGGAGAGGGGGACTCCACCTCCCAGCAAAATATATCAAAAACGTACATCAGATTCTGAAAATGCAGGAAATCAAGCCCCAGAAGCTCAGAAATGTTCAGAGGCTCACACACATCCTACAGATTCCCACTTTTGTAATTTGAACTATTTTGATGCTTTCTATATATTTACTATTAAATTTTTCATGCAATTTCCAAACTTTCCAGTCAAGTGTAAACTTAGCATCATGAGTACAAATAAATTATTTTACACAAAAGATAAAATTTCACTTGCATGATGACCTCATTTTGGGATGTTATATGACATCATAACATAACATCAAAGTTTAGTTGAATTTTGAACATCTTCAAATATTGTAAAAAATCTTCTTATATATTAATAATAGCTGAATTCATATTAGAGGACGGATTGCCGTCGTCCAGATATAAATTCGGTTAACGACAGGTTTTCCGTCTCAACTTTTCCGTCTTAGATGGGAAACTCGATCGTCTTAAATTTATATCAGACGAATAAATCAAGATGGGTTTCTGCTCGTAAAGTTGAAAGGAGACTGGGATGGAGGGTCTTCTATTTTTCAGGTTTATCCACCCAATGGTTTTCTTTTCATGCTCATATCAGACGGAAATCCGTCACACAAGTTTCCAGTCTTAGACGGAAATCCATCTTCTAATATGAATTCAGCTGATATAATGCGCCAATCAATTTATACTGTTAACATCGCCCCAAGCATAGCCCAGGCATTTGACACCTTGCTCTATCCCCAGACTAGGAAATTTGACCTTTTGAACTGCTGTTAGGGTAGAGCATTTGATGCTGAGTCACAAGACGTGGGGCATTTGACCATTTAAACTAGATTGTGCAAGGTCTGAGACTATTAAAAAGCTTTTTTAAAAAACAAAATTCAAAATGGAGTATACTTTAATTAAATACTTTTTGGGAACTTTATAATTAAAGCATGAGGTGTAAGTTGTTTAATACAGAGTCTCATTTATTAAACTGTTGAAGTTACCTTCACAATTCAGTGTATGTTTTACACAATTCCAAACTTGAACTGATAGAATTACAGTCAGAATGATCGGGGGGTTGGGGCATTTGACTATCAATTTTCCATTATATGTGGGGCATTTGAACAGCAATTTTGTCCTGGGAGTGGGAAATGAGACCACAAAATTTCAAAAAGTTCAAATGCCCGGGGGGGGGGGGATGTTAACAGCCAGACTGCATTCTTTGTCGTGCGCGCGGAACATATTCCGCGCACATTTTTTACACATTGCGCGCTTTTCAACCAAAAATGCGTGCATTTTAGTTGAAAATATATGAAAAAGTGCACACCTTTCTTTCACGGAACATGCGCGCAAACTTCCAGAGACTGAATAGCGTTTCCTTTTTCAAATTTCAAGAAAATTTTGACCCCAAAATTCCCTAAAAAGGAAATTCAAGGAAATTTTGGGAAATTTAAGGCCAAATCATTGGCCAATGTGATGCCAATCAAATAATTTGAATGGTGTATAGCCTGCGAACAGGCTCACTGGGAGAAAGGTGAGCCTGCACGGAACCATGCGTTTTATTCATTCATCCCCTTTTCGCATCTGCTAAACGCTAACCAATCAGCGTCGACTGCGATAAATAAACTGTCAACTGTCAAATTGACTCAAGGCGTGTACATTGTGCAACATGAACAATAATAATACAAAGCATTAGCGGGCCGCAGAATATATTACTCGGAAAAATATAGAATTCTTCAAATATTAAATAGATATCAATACACATACAAATATAAAGCCGAATAAACTACCATTGGCTTTGAATGTACAGTAATACTTGTACTATGTGCGACTGAAAGAACAATGTTCTGAATATTTTGAAGCTATTACTAAAATACGGTCAAATAGATTGGGATTTGGAATACCGAATACGTTTAAAATTTTACTAACTGTGGTCTAAATAAATGATAAATGAGCATGTATTTATTAATTTCTTCGAAATCACGAGTGTTGGAAGCCGTATCGACGACGAAATTGTCAGCAGTTAATATACAGTAAACAGTACAACGTTTAATGTAGATATATATTTATCTAAATGACATGCCAGCGAGGATCGACAATATAATTATTCGTACATATTTGGGTATCTTTTGTATGCCTTCGCTTGCTGACTTGCTCACTAATGAGAATAATCCGTGAAGCCACGACGACCTCAAAATGTACTATACTATGGTCTGATGTCAATCCGAAGACGAAGTTCAGAATACTGTTAAGTTTCGTATATTGGATTTAAGCGATAGATTCAAGTCATTTATGAGACTTTTTGCTGTGATGCTTTGTATTGCTTTTGGTTTCCATTTCTAGTTTTATTTGTTCGATAGTCCTATAATATATAATATTAAAATGAATAAATTCAAATTCTTCAAAATGCTGTTGTTGACATTTGCTATTTTTAGTAATTTTGTCAACGAGTGTAAGCCAATCAGAAGCCTGCGTTTCTATACGAACGCCACTACCAAGAAAACCTATCATCCGTGCAGGCCCTCTATTCTTCGCGCCGCCTGCAACCCAGGGCCTGTTCGCAGGCTAAATGGTGTATTGTGGAAACACTGCACGAGTTACAATCAGTGTGCACAATTTGGCGCGCATATTTCTACGCAACAAACTACAAGCGCGCATTATAAATGACAGTTTCAAACATCCCGCGCGCATTTTGCAAACAATGCAGTCTGGGTTAACAGTATAAATTGATTAGCGCATAACGGCATAAGAAATAAGATGATCCTATTTTTGAGAAATTCTTATATCCAATTTTGGTTTTAATACAGCCGATAATCATCTACATATCCGAAGTGTATCAGATTACAGCAGCATTTATAACAGCACACTATCCTATAAATTTATTCACCATACTGAGGTTAAATTTAAATTATGTACAAGTGTACAGCTTGGGTTAATACATATTTCATGAGCAGAATACAACAGTGTTAACCCATTAAAAATAGTATGGGACTATAAACATAAGCTACCAGGGATATATAAACAAGGAAATCACTGTTCTATATATAGTTCATCGCAGTTATACACGCCTATAAACACGAGTATAATATTGTTGGTCTCGGATGAGTTACTCTCAAACAAAGACATTCATATTTCAAAGCCAAACTTTGACCCATCTTAAAACAGTTTTTAAACTTTTATACAACATACCGAACAATCGTTAAACTAAATACGAACTATCTCCATAACATATGCCACAATATATCGAAGTCACTGATCGTCTAGCTATATACTTCAAACATCTAAACATAGAATTTCAAAATATTCCTCAATATTTGTACCTCTATTTGTGTCATGAGGCGAAGAGTTATCTTGCAAATCTGTAGCCACTCTTAACATATCTTCCATTCTCGTAATTGAAGAACTATCTGATAAGTCTATAGTAGCAGTAGTTTCAGGATAATCGCCATTTAAAGCAGTTTCTCTTACTAAACTATCATCATCAATCGTACTTACACGTTGAACAGAAGCCATTCTAGACGACTCATAATTAGTGACGTACCATATCCGGGACATTCTATGACGTTTGGCGGAAAAAATTTTGGCAGCCTGCGACCAGGTTCCAAGGCCCTGTTTACACTATACCGGATTCGCTGGTCACGACATCTTCTTTTGCCGCTACGGAGCAATGGTTAGTAGCAAATGCTTATTAGTTTGACAGAATTGGCATGTTTATTTGGGTCTCTGAGATTAAAAATCTTCACAGCCTTTCGATACCTACAAAATTTGACCCACTCCGATAGCAATCCGGTATAGTGTAAACGGGGCCTAATACAACCTACCAGAACGTACGTCACTTTGGCTATAGAGCCTCGTATTCGTGCATGTGAATTAGTACAAGGCCTAACGTCACAATCACGAAAACGAGGCTCAATAGCCAATGTGACGTATATTGGACAGCCTACATGTAAGAAAACAGTGATGGCAGACCGGCCACCACACCCACTGTAGGAGTTAAATCTCAATTTACTATCATACTGTCAAAGATACTGTCGTTCTACATTCACAACTGTCATTTATTAACTTAGTTTTCTTCAGTTATATACTCGATAAGACGGGTATATCAGGGTTTGGATTCAAGGCCGTCCGTCTCAAGCTAGGGCCTGAACAGTAACGGTCCCGACACCAGCGGCCAGCGAAAGAAGCCCCGGGACTCGAAAACACTAGCTACGAAAAAACTAGTTCTAGAGACCTACTTCAATATACCTTTTATACACAAAATTTGTCACTAGTTAGTAAAATATCAACCAATTGCAGTCGTAGCAAATACGATGGAAATTTTCCTAAAATATTTTACCAATTCATTTGCTCCATAGATAACTAGTGCATCTAATTATTCTGCAATTCAAAAATTGAAGCCGTGATTGCAGACTCAGGATATTCCCATGAAATGAAAAGATTCGTATGTAAATATGTTTTCTATAGTTCTTAAACAGGGAACTTAAACATTAAGAAACCTATTCCAAATACATTTTCAAACTATTCAAATGATGAAAGTTATTGTTGTTTTTTAAGCATTTATTAGCGAGTGGGAACTAACAACATGGCCGCCATCTATTCAAATGGGGGTAACCGCTGGAATATTCTTGGCTAATAATTTTACTAAAAGAGATGCGCTATCTAGTGTATACAACTATTTCAATTAAGGTTGTCCACGAGCAAAGCGGAAAAGTCGAATACGAGCGCGAAAGGCTGCTGGGAATCGCTAACAAATTAATGAATTTTCTAAGCGATTCCCAGCAGCCTTTCGCGCTCGTATTCGACTTTTCCGCTTTGCTCGTGGACAACAAATAGCTGGCGGATATCTATGATTTGCTCACACGAAGTTTAATTAGTAAAACACGGAGCACGACACGGAGTACGGAGCACGGAGCACACGAAGTACGGAGCAGTAGAAAAACGAAAATCCTTTATAATAAAATACACTGTTTACTATTACAATTTTTTGTTATTATTAACAAAGTTTTTTTCGCGTATTACACGTTGGGGAAGTAGGAAAATGGGGCTTTTACTGAAAAACACATATGATGCAAAACCAGGCTGCCAAAAGTCATAGTATTTAAAATGGGATTGTGAAACTCGTTATCTTACATCTATCAAGCTTATGTAGTTATATTATATTCCGATGGGCAACACATAAAGAAACACTTACTGTAGAGAACAGCCCATATATTTCGTTACCCCTGCCAAAAAATAGCCAAGTATACTCATCTTTCAATGTAGCTGATCGACTGAACATTAAATCTTGTGATGAGAAAAGTGAATTTTCGGTTTATCCTTCGGCTCAGTGACCGGTGGCAGTGAGCTGTACGGCCGGCTAAGTTTAAACCGTTATACAGTACATCATTACTGCTTTCATTCTTTCAATTCGTTTTGAATATTCGGTATCATTCACAATATTATAGAACTGTATAAGATAGCTGTAGAACTATAAATGCTGTAGAATGAAATAAATAAAGAAAAGTAAGTTTTCAAATCGCGGTATTTGACGATAAATCGGTAATCGCTACAGAAAAACAGAACAAATTACAGTATTAAAATCACAACAAACAGCGGAAGTGGGACAATTTTTGTATTTTTACTGTAAGACATGTAGAACATGTACGGACTGTACGAAATCCATACAGAAGTGTATGTGTATTCTATACTTTTGAAACAACTAAATCAGACTTCGGAAAATTTGACGGTATTAAAGCTGCTTTTGGGAATTTAGATTTTTAGGTCTTCGTTTTACATGTACCCAGACCAGTAAATATTTTTGAGTTTTGAATTTTGTGTATAAATCAACACCAACGCCTCAAAGGCGAAAAGGAGGGCAAGATTGTTAGAATTGCTATTGTAAACATGAGCAGTTTCGAGCATAAACATAAAATTGAAACGAGTAATTTTTACACATCTGATTGACTAAATTCAGGAAGCCATTTAAGTGTACGCGTATTTGTTACAATTCCGATCAACTCTGCCTGCACGGCAGAGCCAGAGGCAGAGTAAATTGTAAACAAATTGTAAGCTTGTGAGAATCAAAGTTCAAAACTCAAAAATATTTACTGGGTACATGTAAAACAAAGACCTAAAATCTAGTTGTTTCAAAAGTATAGAATACACACACACTTCTGTATGGATTTCGTACATGTTCTGCATGTCTTACAGTAAAAATACAAAAATTGTCCCACTTCCGCGGTTTGTTGTGATTTACTGTAATTTGTTCTGTTTTTCTGTGGCGGTTACCGATTTATCGGCAAATACCGCGATAAAACGTAGTTTTCTTTATTTATTTTATTCTACAGCATTTATAGTTCTACAGCTATCTTATACAGTTTTATAATATAATAGTGAATGATTCCGAATATTCAAAACGGATTGAAAGAATGAAAGCAGTAATTATGTATAACGGTTTAAACGTAGGCCGTACAGCACACTGCTCACTGGTCACTGGGACGAAGGATAAACCAAAAATTCACTTCTCTCCATGACAAGCTTTTATAATGTTCAGTCGATCCGCTACATTGAAAGATGAGTACTTGGCTATTTTTTGGCAGGGGTAACGAAATATATCGGCTGTTCTCTAAGTGTTTCTTAATGCGTTGGCCATCGGAATATAATATAACAGTACATAACTCATAAGCTTGATAGATATGTGACGAGTTTCACAGGCACAATCCTATTTTAAATACTATGGCTTTTGGCAGTTTTGCATCATATGTGCAGTTCCACTGTCTAGGGCTAGTTCAAATGATTATGAACTTAGAAACTCTAACACATTAACAACAATAAAATGCCGAACAGAAAGATATCGCCGTAGCTTTTTTCCCAGTACAGTAGCTCTATATAATAGTTATAGTAAAGAAACTTAAGCGTGATACTTAATTACGATGATTTTAATGCAATTCAATAAGATTTTTAGACTTGATGCATGCAACTAAATTTTTATATATGTAAATATATAGCGATTAGCGTACCAATTTTGTAAACGCACCATAATTCAATCTATTGCGAAGGTGTGTATCTTAAACCATTAATAATAATAATAATAATAATAAAAGCCCCATTTTTCTACTTCCTCAACGTGTAAAACGCGAAAAAAGTTTATTAATAAGAACAAAAATTTGTAATAGTAAACAGTGTATTTTATTATAAAGGATTTTCGTTTTTCTACTGCTCCGTAGTTCGTGTGCTCCGTGCTCCGTGCTCCGTGCTCCGTGTGCTCCGTACTCCGTGCTCCGTGTGCTCCGTGTTTTACTAATAGCCACAGAATAAAGATCAGTAACAGAAGGGCCACTCAGCGGTGCAACGTGTCCTCGTTTTTTTATGCAAAAATATGCAGTTTACTGGCCAGAAGGCGGAGCAGCCAGCCAGTACAGCGTGTTTATTGGCCAGAAAATGTCATTGACTGGCTAGGAAGATGGCGGCCAACATGCGTAATGCGACATGCGCGAGGACAGAAACTTCAAAGCTTCCGACGTAAGTGGCCCTTCTATATGATCTTTATTCTATGCTAATAGCCCAGCAGTTCGTAGTGAAAACGGAAAAAATTCACGCTCTTTGATATAAAAAGTTTCAAGAATTTTATTTCGATTTTTACGTGTTGTATCATAAATATGTATAGATTATTTGAAAACTGTGGTTTTTCGTAATTGTTTGTCACCAAAGTCAAATAATGGAAACAACTTCGCAATAATGGACAAATCATGCGGCCAGTTCTAGGTGACGCGGGCGGAGGACGGGAAACTAAAGTCTAATTTGGAGTGGCCTAACTTCCACCGACAAAAATATTAATGGGAAGAATTGTTTCTGCTCTACCATCATATTAATTTGGTACAGCTCATTACAAGTATTGCAGCAATCACTTGAAACTGAACTGAACCATTTACTACAGACATAAAAAACAGGCAGTCGCGAGACTGCACGTGCTACTGTTGTTTACAAACAATATAACAATGCACGGAAAGTATTACATGTAACCAGACACAGTTCTATAATGCCCTAGTATCTTCTAGGGACAAACCTATAAAACAAACCGGTGCCCTAGTGTCTTCTAGGGACAAACCTAAAACAAAGTCAAAACCGTCGACACTAAAGTGCATGACAGAATAAATAGTTGCATATTGACAACAGTTTGTCCTGAAGCGGGATTTCAAGCCCCCCTCCCCTATTGGCAGACCCCCCCCCCTCCATTGTTGAAACCCGTCGGAAAATTGGAAATTTGTTATGTTGTCGAATCGATACGTAAGAAAAGTTATTTCAAAGTATGTGTAATAAAATGCAAGTCGACATGAATGTATCGATAGGAAATGTAAACAATTAAATATGCAGCGTCAGCAGCAATAAAAATAATTATTACCTTAGAGATTACATCAAGTAAATATGCTTGTGATTCCGCATAAACGTACAAACTCACAGACAGAATCAGTAAAGCCGGTGTCAAACTTGGACGGGCACCGCAATTTAAAGCCGTGTAACCTTGGGGCTGCGGCTATGTCTTTTACGTTCGAAAAAAGTTAAAATGCATGCTTGGTCGTGCGTGCGTACGTGCGTGCGTACGTGCGTGCGTACGTGCGTGCGCGCGCGCAGTATGTATATACACATATACTGTAGACAAAGTAACTTGAATGCAAAGAAAATCATTAAGAAGTAAACTGTGTGTTCTCAGTGTCATTTACAGTGAAGCATGTTAACTTTTTGAATAGAACAAGCGTAAGATATTGGAATCGTAACGCGCCTGTTAATAAAATCCAAGCACGCAATTACGCTAATATTGTACATGTTTAAGATCAAATTTCGCCAAGACACAAAAGAATCCCAAACATCTGAAATCGTCGTCGAATGACTACATCCTAGCCCTAACGAATTATGCATATGTACCTTTAAAAAGGAAGTTAAGTAGGACCATTTTTAAATAGGCGATTTCCAAGACGTACTTTTGCTAGTTTGGAGAACCCGGAAATTTCAACCATCTTTGATCTAAAATAACCAAGTCAATAACATTTCGATTTATGGAGAAAAGATATCACAAGAAAGTTCCATATATTCTAAAAACATATATTGGAACAGCAGACCAAAACTTATAATGCGCGCTCAGCACAGCACATGATGTTTACTGCTTTATTTACCGACATTTCTTGGACATTTCGCGTCATTTTTGGTTCGATTTTTGAAGTACTCTAACTTTTCTTCATTTTGTGTTTCATGGCTGAAACTTCAGTAAATATGTGGGGTTGGATAGGTCTACAATATATATAAAATCGAGGAAAATTGAAGAACTTTCAGTTTTTCATATCTGCCAGAAAATGGTGAATTATTGCGATTTTTACAGACAAGCTCTCTTAAATCTTTTCTCTAGATCATTACTGAAGCTTGGGAGAGAAAGGCTCGGAGAAAGGGTTTTCAAAAAATGCTTATTTTTAAAGAAGTCGATCATAAAACCAATATGCTGTGATAGTACCACAGTGTAACTGAAGAATGTGCACAAATAGGATACCTTGCGTCTTCGAGTTTTGATCATAAACTCTCTTGCTAAATGTGTGGCAGGTTGAGGTTCAAGAGGTCGAATCACGATACTTTTATCAAGTGGATCACCAGGGACAATCTAGAACAAATAATGTACAGTATATTATTATTATTAATAATGTATATTAGCAAATAATGTATATGAGTAAATATCCGGATATTCTTGCACTATTCACTAGGGCATCAACTATTTCGCTGACCTCAGAATGACATTTCGTCAAAACGTTTTTCTTCAAGATTGGTTTAGAAACAAATTTGGAGTAGGGTTAGGTTAGGGTAAGGATAAGGATCAGGGTTAGAGTTGGTGTTTAGAGTAGGGTTCGTATTAGTAAAACCGTTGCTTTGTTACGTTTTGTCACTCTGAGGCCAGCGAAATAATCTCTTCCATTCACTACCGCACAAAAACAAAATGGCTTACCCTCCGGTTACAGGCGCGAAAATATTTGTATTAAAATAACTAAGTTCGCCAAACACGAAGAAAGCCACAAAGTTTTGTTTAATAATAACTAATAGCGTGTGGCAACTACTACGGGAGCTGAAATACAAATTGTTTTAAATTTTAAATATTTCCGTTGTTTTTTTGTCATTTTTATGCTAAAACAATTATTCACTTCAGTGTCGGTGAATAGTGCAAGGATATTTCACCTCAACTAACGCGTTTCGGTGAATATCCTTGCACTATTCACCGACAATGAGATGAACAATTGTTAATTATTAATTATTATACGAAGTGCTAACATTGGCCCTGCACTGCTGTACATGTTTGCAAAAATGTACCTGGTCGTACCTTATGGACCAAACTAAAATTAGTTTCACTTTTCCAAGTAAATGTGATGCAATGTACGGGCAACAAAGTTGCTGCAACAAAAGCTAATTTCACGTATACGTTCACGCATAAGTTACAACATTCCTAAACGTTTCTCAGTAACATGCATGCTTCGAAATCAGTTTGGGTGCAAGCTGCATAACTTGTCTTGCTCGTATTGCGTCACCTTACAGTTTATTTGTAGATGGAAAATTTGAGTGTGCATTTTATACATTTGACGGAACATACCTGCCAATGATGGAATACTGACAGACAGAAAGCTTGACCTTGTGTATGTGTCCTGAGATCGGTTTCAAAACCAAACGAATCAATTGCTGGAATGAATGCTTTGATTGTATATAGAGGAGAGCCTGGCACTGGAGCATCCTGCGTCACGTGACCTCTACAATAAAAAGAATACATAGCAACAAATTTAATAAAAATTCATAATGTTAAATTAATCAATGTAAATCGGATACAGATTCGTCCTTATTATCATAATCTTTTCATTCGGCAACAAAATCACTTTATAGTGAGGACAAAGGATTATTTTTGTTCTCAAAATCGTAACATTCCCCACCATAGCAGTAAATTTAATAAGGAAACACAAAAGTATAATAAAATAAAAGCCAAAGAAAACACAACATTTTCACGACGGGAAGATAATTTCATGTTGAAGTAACTTACCTTCGTCGTGCTAACACTGTGTACACTGATGAAACACAATCTGCTGGTGCTTGCACACGGTTCCATTAAACGTGGAGTTGCCTGAGAGGAAATTATATGCGGTGTTAGCACTTGGAAGACGATGGAACCATTGGTTTTTGTTGCATGCCCATATATGGCATGCAACTATCATATAGCTTAAAATTCGTGTCCGTTGTTGTTGTTGAAACTTGCGGCAGATCACGTGGGACGAGCATAATAATGAATCTATGATCGTGTGCACGTTTTCTTCCATGGTTTTCGTCGAGCAAATGCAAAGATTCGCCGAAAATTTACATAATCGAGCGCCTTAGAAAAATACATCGAGGTAGGTAAAGCTTTGCTGTTTTAATTTACTTTATATTCTGTTATTTTGTTGTGATTTTGGAGCCGCTGTGCTCGCACTGATTATTTATCAGGCGTAATATTATATAGCGTGAAAGGCCATGCACGCTATCAAAATACTAAATTTAAATATAATACTCAAACTGAAGTGGAGTTATTGTGCTCGTATGGATTATATTGTGTGCAAAACTTCAAAACTACAGTACATTTTGTAAATAACATGAAATATATTAAAAATAACAAACAAAATTCTCATTAATACTATTGAAATTACAACGAAATAGGGTCATTCCATTTATTATCCGCACCCCCCTATGGATGAGCTCTGGTAAAAATGTTACCTGTAGGAATCGGATTTCAGAGAAGTACCCTGTTGGAATCGACAGTATCAACCTAAACCCTAGGAATAATTGCCAATATCTCACCGGTAGGAATCTGCTAATTCCCAATGTCAGACCGGGGGGGGGGTGAGAATAATAAATGAAATTATTATGATTCTCATAATAAATATTTGGCAATATAGTATGCTACACCTTGACGCAATATCTGACCGGTTATCTGACCGGTAGGAATCCGCTCATCCATAGGGGGGGTGCGGATAATAAATGGAATGACCCATAGCATTCTACGTCGATAATTTCAATCGTAGTTTAACAATTATTTTCAATCTGTAGTAATTCACCGTTTCCATGTTTTTTTTTATACTTTCAATAAGGCTACAATAAAGCTAAATTTGTAGGAAATAACATTATTTAGTTATAAAATAGTAAAGGAAATCTAACAGTCAATCGCTTTCGATAAAACCTTGACCTTGTTTATATTACCGTCGCCTGCAACTAACGATGAACAGTCGCTCATAAAAACATTGCCTTTTCGCGTGATAATCTAAAGTTTTCTTATTTTGACATAATAGCTATTTTTCAATAAATATATTGATATTAAACTTATTGAATCAATATATTAAGTTTCAGGCCAGTTGTACCAAACGTTATAAGCGCTAGCGCATCATAACCAGGGGGGCGACTGCTTCTGTTTACGGTACTTGCTGAGTGACGAATCATCAATCATGACGAATAGCGCTTACGCAAAAAACCTACGTTTCGCCCACCCTAAAATTTTCGGGTCGACGGATCCGTAGACTTGCTCCACTATCTTTCATTGTCATATCGATCCACTATAGTGTACATTACATGACGTAGAACAGAGAGGCGGAGCGAGAAAGAAAAACTTGTCAACTTCGGAAAATCTCGGTTCAAAACTGTACCGAAAATGCAAGACTTGCTTTAATTGTTTTCTGTCAGTGTTTATATGTATTGACCTAGACTTTCCAAAGTCCGCGGTTCGTGGTTCCTGGAAGCTACGGACTTTTGTCACCCGCAAGCGCGCCAAAATCACCGGTGCATTTTTGCTCCGGTGACGTCAGTGAATGCTCATTATTATTCTGTACTAACGACGCCATTTTTAGTGATGGGCGATACCAGGATTTTTAATTCGATACCGATACCGATACTTTTAAGATCGGTATCGGCCGATACCGATACCTATTTCGATACCAAAATGAACACAAAATTTCAATTTTCGATACCGGAAGTGAGTACTTAAATTGCTAGTATCGGCTACTTTCGATACCTACCGGTCAGCGGAAAAAAATTTTTCATTACTGTATGTAACCTAAATAAAGCTATATGTAAACCAAAAGTCCGAAACGTAATAAATATTTTCTATACATGACTTGGCGCACCACATTTGGAATATTAAGAGTTATTTTAGTGGTTCATTAAGTCTTATTCAACCAAGAAGTGAAATTAAACAAGTCGTTAAAAAAGGGTGCAAGTATCGAACGATACCACGTCAGTAATCGATACCGATACCGCTGTTTGTGGTATCGCTGGTATCGAATACCGAGTACTCGGTATCGCCCATCACTAGCCATTTTGTAAAATTTATATTTAATACAAACCATTGATAAACAGACTCGCCATCCATTGTGAATATATGGAAAGTCGCATGAACAAAACAATAATGAACAAGACGCTCTATAGAGCGTTAACTCGCTGGGGCTATACACCGTACAAACACGCACCTAACCGTATATGATTCATACATGCATGCAGTACACAGTTGTTTCACTTAAGATTTATGGTTGTCCGTTGGTTGTCCCGAGCTAAGCGGAACTGTCGAATACGAGCGACAAAGGGTTGAAGATTAAACTTTTCAGTTACAGATTTGTTCACTCTGTTTTGAACTATATCAACATGTAACAGTGCTCTGTCCATCATGCAACCTACTTTATTATTTTAATGTCTTATATACAAGTCGATTTTGCTTGTCAAGGGGAGAGTGCTGCCGCTCTCAAATTGGCTAGGTTTGTATTGCAGGTAGGTGGCTCAGTTTTGAAGTTTCTGTTAATATAATGAGCCCAGCTCATGATTTTATACAATCAGACACAGTACAATGCAATGCGGCCTATACAAACAAAACTGCCGGCGTTAGTCCACCAGCTAGGATTTATAAACTGCGCTTTAAAACGTTAAAAATAAAATAGTTTGAGGCCTTTGGGCACAAAATACTATCAAAATGAAGAGAGAAGTGAGACAAATCCACTGGTATACGGCCGAAAAAGAGAAAACCAACGATACCAAAGTTATCAAGGATCAAACGTTTGTTGGATAAATTTTATATTGATATGACACCAATATGCTTCTCGTAAAGTAGTTATCTATTACAGTAAAAGTACGTTGTGTAGTTTACTGTAAGTTATAATTTTACCTTGAAATTGTCTTTGCCTTTGGCTCGTTTATATTCAGATTCAGTCACAGGGAGCCCATCCCGGGTCTTATTGAAGTTATGTATTAGAATTACGTATGAAATATATAGCTCAGTGTTGAAGCCTGCGACTTGCGGGCTGTGTGCGGAAGGCCCCAGCGAGTAACTAGTGAAATCGACATGGTGAACGCCCACTATCTCATAACTGATTTTCGCGCCAAATTTTTCCAGTAAGATTCAAAATCAGGCAAGTGACACAAGTCGCTCGCTTCCGTCTTTCTCAAGCGCTCCCTTCTTGCTACGCGCGGTCCCTAGCGAGCGACTTGGGCAAGTCTAGTATTGACCTAGCACAGTGTAAATAACATGAGTTCCATTATAGTAAATAATACAGAAAGAAATTGAAGGAAAACAATTAAAGCAAGTCTTGCATTTTCTGTTCAGTTTTCAACCGAGATTTTCCGAAGTTGACAAGTCTCTCTTTCTCGCTCCGCCCCTCCGTACTACGTCATGTAATGTACACTATAGTGGATTGATACTATATGACAATGAAAGAGAGACTTGGAGCAAGTCTAACGGCTACGTCAACCTGCGAATAGGTCCAAACGCCCATATAGATCTCGCTGCCAATAAATCCCAATCGTACTTCGTCTGGAAGAACTCGCCTAGTCGCTTTCTGAACGAAATAACAATGTAAGTTGGTTACTTTAAAGGCCGAGACACACCGGACGCGATTCGACAACGCGGCGCGATTTTTCATTTTCTCTAACCGATAACTTTGATCCTGGTATAAGTTTTTCAAATATTTAGAAGCGCTAAACATTTTGAGTTATTTGGTCTACATATCTTTTAAAGTTTATTTATCTTGACATTAGCAGTTAAGTAGCTGAATACAAGCCACTAGCTGAATACAACTGTCAAGCCACTTTGGCTTAAAATTTAGCGAGACAGTATCCCTTAAGGAAATATATATCCAGGGGCCGGTTGATAAAACTCTTAATCACTATTTTGTAGTTAATAGTGATTGACTCTCAAATACGCCTTCTTATTGGATGACGTTTCCACTAACTATAGTTAACTTTAATCACTTTTTTATACAACCGGCCCCAGAATCTTAAAAATGTATGAATTTCTCAACATACTTATTCCAGGTAATGGAAACCTTCTCGTTTTCTATGTCCTCAGCTAAACCATTCTCCAAAGGTTCTGCGCAAATCTTTTGCGAATTTCAACTTGCAATTTGTTCGCGTCGGTTGCAAATTGCTCAGAGCAATCTACCTATCAAAACTGCAACATTGTGGGACAATAGTGCAATGTTGCTAGCAAGAGAACATCCGGTTTGACTGTAAAATGGACCCTACCTTGCTTCTGGGATCCATAGCCTGCCAATCTATCAACAACAGAAGAGCATTTATTTTAACCAAACATTATACGGTATATACACAATCGTGCTGTCCATACACGTAGACGATTACGATACTACCAGAGGATTCCAGGAATTCTACTTACATTTCCTATCCTTGAATCTTCCTCATCTTCAAGTGTGTAATTTTCTCCAAGAATTTTCACTTGTTGACCGGCATAAACTAAAACAACGTGAAACAACACATAAATGTGATTTGATAAACCACTTCCATAGTGTTTTAGCGATTTTTTTAAGTGGCTAAAAGGTTCTGAGTTGATTAGCTTTGAAACAATACAAGCACTGCGGTAACTTACCTGTGCCACTTAATACTCTTCCTAAAACATGGAATGCTGTTGCATCACGGGATGGATATTGTTTTGTTGTATGAATCATCAGTGGACCCTAAACGAGGAAAAATTTAAAGAATCTTTTCGTAAGCGCTACGATGTTTGCATGTGAGGATAAACAGCTTTAGGATACCTTTCCATACATGATTATGAGAACCGCTGGCTCACATAAAATCATTTGGCGTTTAATAATATAAACTACTACTGGAATAAAATATAAAAGATGCTACAGATGACAAAGATTGAACTTGGTTCTGCCATAGACAGACTCTTTTTTCTTCCAACATACAGACCATTCTTTTTGGAAAAAACTAACCCCATAAAACCAAGAAACGCCAATGTTTGTAATCTTATTTTTCAAGTATAACCGCGTCATACACAAGCTCGAAGATAAAAACATCGTCCATTCTCACATAAATCGTCCATATTCGGCGATCCAAGCACTTGCCAGGCAGTGAGGATAACAATTTCACGTGGGTCTGAGAAATTTCTTGGTTCTACAGATATTGTTTTCGAATTTTCTGCATTTCTGATACCATACATACAGAAAATGTTGGTGTATTGCATTTTTAAATGAAATCTGCGTGTTCATATTTCGTTGCTAAAAAGTATAATTTTTCTTTTTTGTTTTTCAAATTCATCAGTCTAATCATCAGAGTGGCCCCAATCAAGCTGTAGACAGCGATACACAGGCTCAGTGATCATGCAAAGAGGTACATAAGTGAACTTAGACTCTGAGTACATCCTGTACACAATGACTCGTATTAAGACTGATAAGTCTATTATTTTTATCGATATATAGTTGACAGAAAAGGACATATCCGGGTCAACAATTGGCAAGGATATTGAAAAAGCTACCAAAAATAACTTAAAATTTCGGATTTACAGTTTAAATCTTCAGAAACGAAAGAGGAGCTGTTTACACTGATGAATTTGGGAAAGAGAAAAGAAAACCGAGCGAACAATTTGCTAAATGTTCATGACAGTAAAATAATGTACAATCTAATATAAAAACAAATAAAATTTATACGACGAATATGAAAACTCATTTGTATATATATATATATATATATATATATATATATATATATATATATATATATATATATATAGAAAAATTTACTTCAAACTTACCATAATACAGACTTCTTTTGGCTTTAAAAAAACTCAAAACAAGTAAACAACTCTGAGCTTTCGGGATTTTCTCCGCAAACTACGTCACAAGCCTGCTGACGTCAACCTTTTTATAAAGGTCTATTCTGGTCATTCAAATTGGCTGATTATGCATCAGCATCACACTCGTACATGGCTTGCGCCAGTTCTGTATCTAATGCTCCATTGATGAGAGTTGATGAGAGTTGATGAGAGTTGATGAGAGTTGATGAGAGTTGATGAGAGTTGATGAGAGTTGATGAGAATTGATGAGAGTTGATGAGAGTTGATGAGAATTGATGAGAATTGATGAGAGTTGTTGATGAGAATTGATGAGTGTTGATGAGAGTTGACAGTCAGGTTGGCAGTCACGCATTACTACGGGGGACATTTCAAGCTTTAGATTAACTTCTCTCATTGGTCCGGCTGTATGCAATGTTGTAGCTTTTATGGCTTAAAATGTTTCTGTTGCTTATACATAGGATAGAAGAGAATAAAGTTTTGTACTATCCTATCCTATGTATAAATATATATATATATATATATATATATATATATATATATATATATATATATATATATATATATATATATATATATATATATATATACACACGAGTATTTATACGTACTATAGATCTAACATGACCATATACTCTCAGACTTAGTATACTTGTTCCTCTCATACTGAGGTCATTTCATCGTATTCCTTCACAAAATCTACAGACATGCAGTAAGGAACCTCCCACTTACCTGAGCAAATAATTTGTAAAGTGGTTCTAAAATAAACTCGACAAACGTTCGTGGTGATGTGTTGAGAGGAGCTTTCTTTGTAAATTTCCGTCTAAAAGTAACAAAAAATAGTACAAACGACTTCCCATATTTTATATAAATCAATAAAAGGTTCACACATACGTTTTTGAATTGAAATACATATCCCCCCAAAGCCTCTTGGCAAAATCACGATGATCGACTCCATAACCTATAAAACAACCAAAATTACTGATAAAAATACTTCGATAACATTCCGAGAATAACATTCCGAGAAAGAGTTATAGTACTTTCTGCCGGCTGAGGAACGAAAAAGGCAGAATGCTTTTCTCCCACACTGCTGGGGGACTAGGGTGGATTCCAGGCCGTCGGAGTCCCTTTTGGCCAGACTTACTGTATGTTCCCACAGCCTGAGTATGGACAGCAAGTAAGTATTTGCTATGTCAAATTCCATATACCTTCGAACTAGTAGTGGGGTTAAGTTGGGAATAATGGGTTTAAGAATGAAGTTTTTATATTTCTTCGGGAGCCAGTATCTAGGGGAAAAGTGAAAAATGTAACCATGGGGCAGTGCAAGTATTTTCTCTCCGAACATACCATACGTATCTGTGTATAACTTGGCAAAGGACATGAGTGTAAAACAGAAACGATATGTTGAACTTGCAAAACACACGTTGCCAAGTAATGGGGAAACCACGATATCATCCAGACCTTCAGAATAAACGCTAAAAATTAAAACAAAAATCCAGTTTAATTTAAGCGTTGTATATTTGGAAAATATTCCGTAATATCATAACTTCTTAAAACCATGTATAGATGTATGGGAGCTGGGGGAAGGAAAGGTAAAACTTCTGGATTAAAAATGAAACCTCGCCAAAGCAGGTGTTCTGCATGTGGTTTGAAAGATAAAGCGTGAGAAATAGTTGTCATAAACCTACATATAGACTTGGTTTAAGTCCGTCTCTCAAGGGGTTGAAAATGGCATAGTACAAAACATGGACTGGACTGGACAGTTGGACTGGACAGTTGGACTGGACTGACTGGACAGTTGGACTGGACTGATTTTTACATTTTCTCTATTTTTGACTTGCACAAAAGAATATTTCATCACAGAATAGATATACCATGTCAAGTCTATTTTGTGATTTTATCAATGAACATTGTCTGATGTAACGGGAGTAGATTGGTTGCAGTCAAGAATATAGCGTTTTGCACCTGAATTACTTTTGATTTTCGGAAGTTGAACTACTTGGTTATCATTCCATGTTTCGCGCACCAATATAGGTTAGGGTTAGGTATTGGAGTTAGGGGTTAGGTTAGGGCCGGTTAGGTTTAGGGTTGGGGTTAGGGTTAGGGTTAGGGTGTGTATATATGTGTATGGAGGTATCTAGTGAACTTTTCAATACACTATAATATCCATTACATAACGTTTACTATATTGGTGCGCGAAACATGGAACGATTACCCATTTTTACATCAAAAAGCAGTTTAAATTACAAATCAGTTTGTATTGCATTCATAAGCAGAATGTAATATTTATCAATTCAAATATATTATTATATTGTTTGTTTAACTAGAATAAATGTTACCAGAGATTTGCCAGGCGGAACACGAATTCTTATGATAAATATGAGAGCCCAACATATAATAACTTTTAACAAAGCCATTAAAACAGTTAAGATTCTACAATAAAAATTCTTTAAAATCTTTACTGTTTTAATGGCTTTGTTAAAAGTTATATATTGGGCTCTCATATTTATCATAAGAATTCGTTTTCCGCCTGGAAAATCTCTGGTAACATTTATTCTAGTTAAACAAACAATATAATATATTTGAATTGATAAATATTACATTCTGCTTATGAATGCAATCGACAAACTGATTTGTAATTTAAACTGCTGTTTGATGTAAAAATGTCTAAAATGTATGAAGCTGGGTTAGCTTAACCCTAGGTTAACGTCGATCAGAGATCTTGTCTGGATCGATAGGAGTTTACTTCTCTGAAGTTGTGAAATAAACGTACGTGCAGAAAGATACAAACCAAAACAGCAGGTCAAAATTTAACCCAGGGTTAGCGCTAACCACCTTTGAGCAACTGGCCCCAGATGTATTACCATTAGTTTATTTTCCAATATTATTATAGCCACAATGATATATGGTTGACTGCTCGCAGACTGACACAGGCGTAGGAACAGCGATAATGGACCATTTGCATTATAGACTAAATTTTGATCTAGACAAAAATTTCAGCACATCTTGAAAGAGCATCACAAAATTAGTAATATTCCAAAGTTTCGTTGCGAAATGTTGTAAAATGCGGATAATATTTTTCAGTCATTTTGTATTGCGCACGGGAAATTGACCGCCCAATCGGGTGTTGGGGCATCAATTTCCCATTTGTAATACAAAATGACTGAAAATTGCAAATTTCGCAAGGCTATATTATCCGCATTTTACAACATTTCGCAACGAAACTTTGGAATATTACTAATTCGTTGTGATGCTCTTTCAAGCTGGGATGAAATTTTTGTCTAGATCAAAATTTAGTGTATAATGCAAATGGCCCATTGGGGAGCTCATATTCATATATTCGTGTTTTGCATTATTCACTTCTTTTGAAATTGATTGTTTTTACGGTCTGCGAACATGAATACATGAATATGAGCCCCCCCCCTAATTATCGATCTTCCTATGGCTATGCAGACTGAAATATTTATCACTTATTTACTGAGACCGAGGGAAACAGTGTGTTTTGTGGACCCGAGACTGTCTCGATGTTTCCCGAGGAGAAGCCGAGCCGGTCGGCTTTCCCAAAGTCTCAGTAAATAAGTAGTTTTTGTTTGCTATTGTATTCTACTTACTAGGCTTTGTTTCGCTTTAAGAGAATTCGCTCCAGTTATAAAGTGAAGTCATCGGCGAAGGTAAAGTATTTCAACTTCCGAAAATCAAAAGTAATTCAGGTGCAAAACGCTATATTCTTGACTGCAACCAATCTACTCCCGTCACATCAGACAATGTTCATTGATAAAATCACAAAATAGACTTGACATGGTATATCTATTCTGTGATGAAATATTCTTTTGTGCAAGTCAAAAATAGAGAAAATGTAAAAATCAGTCCAGTCCAACTGTCCAGTCCAGTCCAGTCCATGTTTTGTACTATGCCGTTGAAAATAGCAATGCACGCAAACGGTCAAAAAAGGCGCGTAAATATGAGAGAAAAGTAGGGAGAGACGGACTTGGATACCCTGCAAGCGCGCCAAATTTTACCGTCGGATTTTTCCTACGGAGGCGTGGCTTGCCAGTTGAGAACAACAACAAATTTTCGCGCCAATTTATGCAAGTAACATTCGAAATGCTGCGAATGTCCCAAGTCCGTCTCTCCCTACTTTTCTCCTGAGACGCCTAACCTACATACTGTTCTTTAACGTTTTGGTCATCAGACTGCAATTTTGGTTTACAAATTATTGTTCCATATCCTGTTACCATTCATTTGCTCTGCCAAACTCCGTTTAAAGCAAGAAAGTTGCCTTTGGAGGAGGTGCATGACAAAAGAAGTACGCAAGCTAGAACTCCGGGAAACAAAAACGCTGAAACATTCGTCGAGAGGACTGACCTTAATAAACCGTTAACTTCGTCAACAATGTGCTTTAGTTTAAAATATGCATCAGCTGGTGGTAGTTTTAGTTCCAGTATAAGTCTGTCAATCTTTGAATAAAATAATGGACAATGGCTATTAAAACAATTGCCAACAACAAGGTAAATAACAATATTTTCAATCATATATAAAAGTATCAATCATACAGCAAAATACAATAAAATACGCACTTTATTTATACATATTGTGATGGCAAGACGTTCTTGAACGGCGTGTTTTAATAATCTTTCAGTATTCAACATAATCTAAAAGTATTCAAGAAAATAATGCATTCAGAAAACATTTATCCCAAATTTTAGTTGTATTTGAAAGAGTCCCTAAAGCCCGTTCTCCACTAGGCGAATTGTTTCGCGCGAAGTAATCGAAAAATAAATTTGTTTACGTGATTAGTTAGTAGCTAATAAAATTCGCCGCGTAGTAATCTGCAGCAAATTCTGTCGCTAATTAAAATACCCTTTCGATAATTACAGTGTACGTAAAAAATCCCTTCTTGGCTTGGCAGCCTCGTTTTCGTGAATCGTGTGCGAATAGCATCCTGTCTTGATTTACGAGAGCGAGGCTCCCAGGCCAAAGAAGTACTCGTGACGTATTCGTGGCCAAAGAAGTATTCGTGGCGAAAAGGTGTATTAAATATTTAGTGAACTTATTTTTGGTTTATGAGGTTTGCTTCGCGGGAAACAATTCCCAAGTGGAAAATAGGATGAACAAAGCTGGCTACAGTTTAAACATTATGCATCATGGCATTGCTTTGCGCTGCCTGACTACCACAACCAGAATGTTTTGCTAGAATCGTATTAAAAAATACTCGCAAAGCATTCTGGTAATACTATAGTAACTCATCGCAAGGAACCATCAGTGTAGTGATCCCAACACTAGGTTCCATACGCATCCATACGACCTGTAAATATAGCAGACTGTAATATACGTTTGTATAAATGTACTGTTTGACACCAAACTATACTTGTTAGTCTTGATTTAAGTTCTAAAATACGACAGTCATAATGCATAAGGTTCATTATATTAATCATTATACTTCACTGTATAACAAAGTATCAGGCTTTATATATACACGAGGCAAGTTTTTACTGTAACGTTGCAGTGTTGGAATAAAAAAGATGCCTGTGGTGGTTACTCTGAGTGTGCATCCACACCGGGCAAGCTGAAAAGTTTGCCTGACCACAGTGGGAATCGAACCCGCGACCTTTCCCACCGTGGTCAGGCAAACTTTTCAGCTTGCCCGGTGTGGATGCACACTCAGAGTGACACCACAAACATCATATTCACCTGAGAACATAACACCAACAAACACAAAAAGTACAATACGATTATACGAAAAGGTTTTTCATATCCCTATAGCATAACTAATGAAGAAATATATAGGTATATGCTCACCCCTTCTGACGCATCAATAAATATAACAGCCCCATCACAAAGACGAAATGCTGCAGTAACTTCATCTGAAAAATTCACATGACCTACAAACAAATAAAACAAGTATTTCCGTGAATTTGATTTTATTATACAAAGCGACTGCACGCAGGCTAACAAAGCAACAGAATATCACAAATCTTCAAAATTATTTTCTACAAAACTCTCACCAGGTGTGTCAAAGACGTTTAAAAGATATGATTTGTCTCTTGAATCTGGTAGAACTAACGACACAGGAATACTTTTGATACTAACACCGCGCTGAAACGAGTAACAATAGCCATTGAAACATTTTCATATTTATCATTTCATCAGTTAGTATATTCATAGTTAATATATATATGACATGGTTTGGAAACAGGGTCACGGTTGAAAAATCCTTTGTCTTTCTATTGTTTGACAACAGTCAGTTCAGAAAGCTTGGCGAAGGGAATGGGTACCAAGTATTTGTTTTGCCTATCAGGGCTATATCTTACGGCATATTTTGCAAATAACGAAGTATTACCATTTTTCGATGGAAAATGTTTGTGTTACATCGTTTGGTCAATTCTCATTGATTAAAACCAACATGTGCAGGGTCAAACTGACTGTTCAACCTCCATGTTTGTTTATAGCGTAATTTCTTTGAAGTTTGCCGGGTTTCCTAACCAGGTCTTATAACAACCATGGTATATTCAAGATCTTCAATATGCAAGGCAGCAGCATACAGTATTATACCAAAACAACATAACAGAACATGTACATAATAGACTACATTGTTTATTGCACTCTTGCCCAACTTCAGTGAATAATTATTGTTGCTATATTACATACCTCTTGCTCAGTAAAAAGAGTGTCTGTGTATCTAATCTAAAATGAGAAAATCTATTTAGCTAAAAATAACTAAAATACAGCGCTGCAAATAGACTTATAGAAGTGCTTACGTCATGCAATTTTTAATACAGAGGATTTCTGGAATGCACAGTGCATTGTGGGATACTTTTGTGTCAATAATTCATTGTTTGAAAATTCCGTGACGTGAGCACTTCTAAGGTCCATTACTGTCAGACATTGGACTGTCACGGACAAAATTTGGCAAATGTCAGAACAAACCCGATTTTTGATGGGACATTAATGTCTGACGGAATAAAATGACGTATTCATTCCACAAAGAAGAAATTCTGTTGTGGTAATCAGAACAAAAAGTAAACTGCGTATAAACGTTCGCCACTGCGACACAAAATATTTAACGAAATTTTAGACAAGGAAATTAGATGTTATTCTTCTATTGAGCCTTTGAAAATGACGACACAGTACATCATGTGGCGTAATACTGTACAGCAGCGCTTCCGGAAAGTATGTCTTCTTGGCTATAGAGCCTCGTTTTCGTGATTGAGACGTTAGACTAAAAACAAGTGTCACATACACGAAAACGAGGCTCTATAGCCAAAGTGGTGTACTTTCTGGAAGGGTGTACTGATTGACATCCACCATTTCAGAAGGTGAAACTTCAAGAAACTTTGCCATGAATTAAATCAAGACGAATTGTGGCATGCAGCAGTAATTTTCATACGCCAGAATGACAATCATATACAATGAATCGTATTGTGTAGAACAGCCTTAAAGTGTATATGAAATGAAAATTTCGATATCGGGGTTTTTGTATTTTCTGAAAATTTGGTCTTTTCCGATCATAAAAATACCAACCTTGTTGAAAAATTCGAAAACAAGTATGAAATACTTATTGGTTTGATTTGTTGATTGGAGGATAAAATTGAAAACTCACCTCACTTTCTTCTTTAGATTTTAAATCAGGATGGGTTTGTTCCAAAAGACAATCAACAAAAGTTGTCTAAAGAAATGAGTGAAAAATTAAGAATGTTTGCACTTAATGCATAACTTTGATGTTTCAGGCTAAGGCCCTTTGTCTGGAAGTTAGCAGCATGTTTAAATATACATACAAAAGTGTCATTATTAATAGTGAATACAGGTGACAAACAGGGTGTTAGCTAGAGGGCCGTGTTGGCCGTGTTATCGCGGCCAAAAATGGAAAAACACGGCTAGATAAAATGAACGCGGCTTCACTATTTATATAAGGCCGTGTAGGTAATCATAAAATAAGGTGTTGCTGCTGACAACAGACAGAATTTCTTCCTATTTACGTCGTAAGAAAGTTTGTAAAATCTACTGTTGTTGTTGAATTGGCAAAAGTGATCCGTGATGTTTTAATATTTTGATGGATAATGGGAACTGTATGGTGTTAAAATGGTTTTAAATACCCCCAAAAGTTGCTGAAATAACTTGATATTTTAGTATTTGGTTGCAACCACAAGCATTACTGTTGGCGAGCATAACTAGAACCGTGATTTTGCTATTCAAGGTAATTGACATGTGCACGCCCTGGTCATTAGAAACACGCCCAAGATCTAAAATCCTAGCTAAGACCCTGGTGACAAGTAAACCAATCAGATGGATTCAGAAAGAATATACACAAAATATGAAAATCACATTATGGTAGTATTGAGGAGTACAGAAGGTGTAATTTGATCCAGTAATGAGAAATTACTAAGCTACATACAAAAAGATAATATAGGAGAGGAATGAAATCAAACTGAAAAAAACAAACGATGAGTTATAAGAAAACCCACAAAGCAGATAGGATGGAATGATGTGCACCAAAAATCCCATCACATGATAAAAGACAAAGTGCATCTTACTGTTCTAAATTTACACTATGTTTACACTGAAATACATGCAATTGAAATTGAAGGTAACAACAAACTCAATGATCTCATGATCAATATTTTGGGTCCTCATGGTCTACTACTGTATATACAGCCTTTACAATGCAGTAAATCACAATACAATATCTTACCTTGCCATGGTGTAAATGTCCAGCTAATGCCACATTTCTTATTAATTCAGTATTGTCCATCAGATCAGCTAAATATCTAACATAAAACAGTGTACATTGTAACAATGTAGAGGTTATATTATCAACACCATTTACACAAATGCAGCTTGTACACAGGCTTGCCCTTATAAATCAGATTTGCTGATATTTATACTTCATGGCAGGTTGTTTTACATAAATTAGTTCATTTGTGAACTTCAACTAATTACATTGGTCAGGTGCTTACTCAATTTCATAAGTAGTTACAGGCAAATCTTGCTCAGCAAGCAAAAACTTCTTGTTCTTTACAGGAGCTATGATGGGTTCTAGAATGAAACACAAAATTTAATTATTTCTAAATCTAATGTTGGCAAGGTATGCCCATTATAGACAGATGGTGAAAACTGAAGACGTTGTTCTTTTAATTGGGTAGTAGATGCTTAATATAGATGGTCACAAGGAATTTAGGACAGTTTAACCATTTGCAGATGTGCACAGTAGATGCTTATGGATGGTACCTAGAGCAACTAGTTTATCAGCTTTGGCTTTGATATTTCAGTGTTTATACCCTTGTTAAATAAAGTTGCTCACTCACTCACTCACTCACTCACTCACTCACTCACTCACTCACTCACTCACTCAAAGCTACAGTCTCTGCAAGTATTCAGATGATATATTTTTGTTGAATTAAGGAAGTCCTTATACAGTATGCATGACAGTAGACATGGTAAGGAATGAGATGACAGGACATTATTTCTACAACACTAATTAAATAGGATAAGAGATGTTGAGACAATAGGTTTTTGAAGGACAGGACATTTATCAGGCTTTCCAATTTATAAAAAAAAAACAATTCCAGTCACTATAACATATATTATAATCATTATTAATATCCATTTGCTATACAGTAAAAACTACTTAATACCAGTTAATGGTTGAGTATCCTCCTCTTGAACAATGGTCTAAAAAATTAACAAAATTAGGAACTAAATGGTAGAAACAACTATTACCTCACATTGTACTGTATATATGTCCAATGAATAATATTATGATCTCACATATACATGTCCATGAAAATTGTTGAAAATGTTTGCAAATGCAAACATTTTAATAATCAAAAATGCAGGTTATTTTGTAGGTTATATCTTCATGTTTTGCACACACAGAGACAGACCCAGGAATGTTTGTACGGAAGTCAAAATGTTTAGGGGGAGTTCAACTTTTTTGGGGGCAGGGTGAGGTGGTATATATATACAGGGTGTATAAAAAAAAGCGCAATCCTCGACTGAAATGTAAATTACTAAACAAATAATAGACGAAAACGTTAAAGTTTACATTCATTTTAAAGCGTAGCCATTCAGCTTTCTAACAGTGGGTTGTTTCTTAAATTTGACTCATTGGTTCGCGGGTAATAATACTTTACGTTATTGCGATTGGAGATTAAAAAAATTGAGATATGGAATAACATATCGTTCTCATGAAAATAACTGATTTTTTCATTAAAATAAGAAAATGTTGCATTTTATTAAATGGATTGTAACAATAAGTATAATTACGGCTTTTCTTCCACTATTTTTAACTCAGTTTGAAACTTCAAATTCGATATAATTTTGGCTTGGACCATCTAAGCTGACTGACATCAACTTGCTATAATTTCTGTTTACATTACATCGCAATTCGATGACACTCTGGCTCAGACACCAGAATGTTTTGACGATTTTTAGCATTCGTTTAGGATTTTCAAACAACCTGGTCTCTTTTAAAATACTTTTAATTTGTTCTTACGTGGTTTTCCAGATGTAGTGACGACAAAATTAAAGTTTAAAAAAGAAAATTCTAACATTTAAACCGACTAAACAATAACATAGTAAACTTGCATAATTAAACAGCAACTAAAAATGATAGGTTTTACTAAATCTTTTCCTGTGCAATTATTACTAGCATTGAAGACAAGGATAATAGTTTGTTTGAAAGAGAAAAGAACAGGCTTTGAAGTAAACCTAAAAGCGTTTAACTAGAAATAGTATTTCGAAAGTTATTAAGCACAAAAGATGAATTGCGTTTATTTTGATACACCCTGTATATATATATATATATATATATATATATATATATATATATATATATATATATATATATATATATATATATATATATATATATATATATATTCGAGTTGTTATTTTCAGCATCGGCCATTTTTAAATCCATGCTATAGAGTAAATGGTTATAGGAGAAAACACGTGCGGAAGTCGCTCCAACGGCGTTTCAAATGCGGTATATTGTAAACTGGGTCCTTAAAATTACTGTTTCTACATGTTTTATCATGTCATTATTCGAAATGTTATCTTTATGTAAATTGTTATCTTTATATATACCCTATATGTTTTACAACTTTAAAAAACTTTTTCGGGGGTGGGGGCGCTTACATTCGAAGGGGCGCTTATAGCTTTCGTAAAGAGAGAATAATTTTATGATTAATAACACAGTATTCTTCGCAAGTAACACTATGAAACATGCTGCTGAATGAAAGATCCTTTAAATGTTATCAACAACTGCTAGTAAGAATAAATCTGCCCCTGTGCATGCACTTAATAAGGTTTTAAGGACAGTGATTGAGGTCAAATTCATAGTGAAGTATATTCATGTGTGCAACATGAGGGTATGATCATTTTGTACAAATTATGCAACTAAGGTTACCTCTACGTCAGCTCCAAAAACCTCTTGTGCTGTGGGATAATATTTCTTGTCCTAGCACAATATGAACTTTATGTCAGCACAATTAACAGGATCGATGCATGAATAATTATATATAACATATTCATCACCAGATATCTAAGCTAAATATTCAAAACTGCTTACTAGTCTGGTAACTGTGAATTAATTAAATAAAACAAATGATAAAATGTACCTCATGCAAAACAACTTGCATTTGAGCATCGTCATCTTGTTCCATCTGATCGTCACCTTGATCATCCTCCTAAACAATGCAGAATTGAAATACTACAATATTTTACAATATACATTATTTGGGAGAATCTAGTTTTTACATGCATTCAGATGTATTGTACCACCCTCCCTCCCCCACCTGTTTTAATATTGGCATCTGACAACAGACATGGGTTTTCAGTAGAGCCAAAATTGAACAGGGGGCACTACGCTTTCAATGTGAAATTCATACCTAATTTTAGTGTGCAGTGATAACCAATTTGTGCAGCGATAAAAGTTAAATGTGCAGTGATAAAATGTAAAATGTACAGTCTGTGATAAAATTTCCTGTGATAAGTTGTTAATTATAACACAAGAAAATGAGGCAATGAGCAGAAAAACTGAACTAATCAAAACATTTTGAATGAGAATAATTTGAATGAAATTGAAATGCATGATGTCTGCCTAATTATTACGTCCGCACTAATAATATACTTAATTTTCATCAGATGAACAAAGTCTCTCACCAAAGATCTCTTTATGAGTTTGAAAGATGGAGTAATTAGTGTACAATCTTCAGAATTCTATAGAATGTCCCCGTATATTGCAGGAGATGCAGGGCCGTAGCTAAGCATGCATAGTTGGGGGGGGGGGTGTAGGCCAAAAATTTCCGAATGACGAAAGAAATTTCCGAATATTTCATGGCATACGAAGTCACGATGGTGTTTGCTATCCGGAAAATGAAAACGCAATTTACAAACAAAAATACTCATATTTTACGCACAGACATATTACAGAAGCATGCAGTTCCGTAGGAAGTTCTTTTTGATAAGGGGATGGCGAGGGCCGAAGGCCCGAGGAAATTTTTTAATTTAGAGTCTCTGAAATGCCATTTTAAAATGCCATTTCCGAATGACCAACCTGATTTTCCGAATATGTTAATTCTAAAAAAGTTGGGGGGGGGGGGTTAACCCCCCGTCCCCCAATACCCCCTTCGCTACGGCCCTGAGGAGATGCCCTTTTATAGTACCTAGTAATGTTCTCCAACTACCGGACAATATCGGTTCTACCGGTCTTTTCTAAAATTTTGGAAAGGGTCGTGTATGAACGGCTATTAAATTATTTAAACGAATACAATATTTCGTTGAATAATAATTATGGCTTTGAGAAAAAATCATTCCACCTCACTTGCATTAATTCATTTATTGGATAAAATTACAACTGCTTTTGATGAAAAAAATATACAATTGGAATATTTCTTGATTTATCTGAGGCTTTTGATACCGTCGATCATGAGATACTTTTTGAGAAACTTGCGCATTATGGTATTCGAGGATCGGTCCTTCAATGGATCAAAAGTTATTTTACTAATAGACAACAGTACGTTGAATTCAACAGTACTTGTTCTTCATTAAGTAAAATTAAGTGTGGCGTACCTCAAGGGTCAATCCTCGGACCTTTGTTTTTCTTGATTTATATTAATGATATAGCTAATTCTTCTAGCATAGCCGAAATGATTTTATTTGCTGATGACACAAATGTGTTTTTTTCCGATAGTGATTTATCTACTAGGTTAACAACTGTCATTAATAGTGAAATGAAAAATCTATCAGAATGTTTTTTTTGCTAATAAACTGTCCCTCAACATTAAGAAATCTAATTGTATAATTTTCACCCCTAGACAAAGGAAGCAAACACTTGATCTATTACTTGAAATAAATAATCATAGGCTAGAACGAGTCAAGGAAACTTCTTTCCTTAGAGTAATTTTGGATGAAAGTCTAACTTGGAAATCACATATCTCGTATGTTGCTAGCAAAATTTCAAAGTCCATTGGAATAATATATAGATCAAGTTTCTGCCTCACTCGTCTTACCCTGCGCACCTTGTATTTTGCTCTCGTATATCCCTAATTAAACTATTGTGTTATCATTTGGGGAGCAACGTATCCTTCAAATCTCAACCGTCTATTATTACTACAGAAAAAAGTAGTAAGAATTTTAAGTAACGCATCCTATGATGCGCATACTTCACCTTTATTTAAGTCCAAAATGATACTCAAATTTGAAGATATACATATCTTCTAAATCTGAGTAAGTTCATGTTTTCTTATCAGAACAATCTACTTCCCCCAAGGCCAAGTTTTAGCAATTTTATTTTACCACTGCTCAAATCCACTCTCACAATTTACGGACTGCTGGCCAATTTTATGTTCCATTTTGTAGAACGAAGGCCAAACAGTTTACTGTAAAATACCAAGGCCCTAAATTTTTTAATTCTTTAAATTCGAGATTCACCCTCAATCTCAACATTTCAACTTACGCTTAATAAATATCTTTTGTCTCTTTATAGTTAATCAGTTCTCGTGTTTATTTCTTGTCGCATTGTACTGTACTCCTGTTTGTCTTCCTTACGTGCAGACATTGTTATTTTAATCAATGTATTATAATTATTGTTAGTTTATAACCGTAACTGCATGTCAGTGAATTCTTGAGTTATTGCTGTAGATGATGAGGTAACCCAAGATTCCAATAAGCCTTCTGGTTTCGACTTGGGTTTCCTCGCCACTATCTGCTTCTTGTTTTATTTTGTTAATGTATTAGTTTATTTTGTTGGCAAAATTAAATCAATCAATCAAAAATTTTCTGTGGATGCATATGCCCCTGGAACTCCTCTAAAGGATTGTCACGCCTAAGCCGCCTTTCATTTGCCAAAACGAAAATATTTCTTTTCTTCATGTGATTATGAAACTATGCTGTCATAAATAGTTGTAACTGCAGGTGCTGTCAATGCCGCCCAGAGGGGGCATTTTTCCCTGGGATCCAGTTAAAAGGGGAGGCAAATAAAGAATTACAGTGAAATATACATAGACATAACTGTCAACTAGACTTCCAGAATGCAGGATTTGGCCATTTCTGGCACCTCAGATTTCAAAATTTTTCCGAGGGGAAATGCACCCGGACCCCCTAATCATAGTGTTAGATGATGGAATCACGCAGTCCAACGAATCAAAGTTTGTCTTTGTCCCCAAAATTTCCCTGTATGGTACTGTGCAGAGTATGTTCGTTTTGACATTTTTGAATAGCAATTGTGGCCTGTTTTGTTGTTACACATTATTATAAGGGTGTGTTCAGAAATTGTCAGGACGTGTTTCTGCTCGGCTAAACTTTGCATAAAAATGTGCAGTGATAAAAAATTCTTAAAATTAGGTATGGTGAAATTATAATATATGACCCATAGTTTCCATGGGATATGTATTAGATTCCAAATTATACAGTAATGCATGGATCCCTGCCCAGGCGGGTTAGGTTAAAACGCGGAAGCGGATGCGGAACGGATATGCGGAACGGATATGCGGAACGGAACGGATATGGGTTAAAATGCGGAACGGAACGGAAATGCGGAACGGAACGGATATGGGGTTAAAATGCGGAACGGAACGGATATGCGGAACGGAACGGATATGGGGTTAAAATGCGGAACGGAACGGATATGGGGTTAAAATGCGGAACGGAACGGATATGGGGTTAAAACGCGGAATGGAACGGGAATAAAACGTTTTTTAAAAACAGACATGATTTTTCATGTTCCGTGTTTTAACCCCATATCCGTTCCGTTCCGCATTTTAACCCCATATCCGTTCCGTTCCGCATTTTAACCCCATATCCGTTCCGCATTTCCGTTCCGTTCCGCATTTTAACTCCATATCCGTTCCGTTCTGTTCCGCATATCCGTTCCGTTCCGCATTTTAACCCCATATCCGTTCCGTTCCGCATATCCGTTCCGCATCCGTTCCGTTCCGCATCCGCTTCCGCGTTTTAACCTAACCCCTGCCCAGGCATACCATCAGCTGTGGAATTTGACTATATAAGAAATCTTGGGTAAATTCCTCAGGATGGTTCTACTGTATGTCTGTAGCTAACCTGAAGTTCAGGCCCTAATCACAGAATAGGGCCCGACACAAAACCTGTCTAAACTGTGGGATTCCCGTCCATCTGGTGGACGGGAAATCTGATTGGTTGATCAGCATCATGAAAGATTCTGATTGGTTGCAAGTTCACATAAACAACAGTTTTAAAAATAACTTGGTCAAGGGCTCAAGGCGACAATTAATATAGGTCAAACACTAGTGCTGTGCGCCGGAGCTGCATGCTGGAGCCGGAGTTCTGCCGGAGCTCCGGCAGTTTTTCCGACGCCGGAGCAGAATTTTGTATGCCGGAGCCGGAGTTACGTTTTCCCAGCTCCGGCAAAATGACAAGAAAACAATATGAAATGAGACAAATGTCAAACGATTGTTAGTTACTGCAAACTGCCAATTGCTGTTAATGAATTCATCATAGACTCAAACTGCCACAGCCCACAGGAACAGCGTCGAAAAGCTGTAATACGATCGCAACTTACAAACGTCATAATGCTTTCATGAAGCCATCTGACTTAGCGCTACATAGTCTGTGTATTCATGCCTTGTAGATAACGAAAAAGTACGAAACAAATAAATATCAACCTTTTGAAAATGACAGAGTACTTTGTTTGCATGCGAACAACTGCGCTGTGGAGTCTGAGAGTGTTAGCGTCATGCCTTGCGTCATGCTATTTAAAAATTGCAACACTGGCTGGTTTCCATATAGATATTTTCTGCGTGGTTAAGTGTTTTCACTGTTTTGTTTCCTGAGTTATGTTATCTGATAATTAGGAAGCACGAAAAGGGTTATTCATAATAATATTAATAAATGTTCTCTGATCGTAAAATATTAAAATATTTATTTAATATTTTATGATATGGCCGGAGCCGGAGCTCAGAGCTATAATTCGGCCGGAGCCGGAACCGGAGCTGAACAACCGGACTATCAAACACACGTAACAAATTCCATTATCGATTTCTTCGAATTTCTTTTCTTTTATGCTTTATGGCAGAAAATAAATCAAACAAACAGTATTTTGAAAGGGCTTTATCAAAATCTTTGACGAATTTTGAACACACGACGCTGAAACAGCCAAACTAGTCATGTATTCGAAAGCTTGTTGTTGAGTGTTGACAGCCAAGATGTTCTGCCAACTGGCTTCGCCGGCAAAAGTCTTATTTTTAATATCTGGTCCTACCGGCATTGTTTTCTGAGCTACATCGCCTTCTTCGTGGTACGATTGAGAATTTCATTGTTGCTGTTGTTAGCCCGTTAGAGTATATCCGCATCCAGCAAGTTGAGACCTTGAGAAAGCTTGGCAGTCAAGCCGTGCAGAGAAACTGACTCTTAATTATATAAAAGTACCTTGAATTTTTAAGTTTAATTAAAAAGCAAAATGCACACTCTGCGGACATGTTCATGAGAATATAAATTTTTTGTGTAACGAAATCTACAACGCTTGTCAATCATATTGCATGCTGTGTCTAAAAATAACATGTGGGCATCCCACAGTCTAGACAGGTTTTGTGTCACAGTCAGGCCCTATTTCAAATTAAGGCCTGAACTTCAGGTTAGTCTGTACAGCTAGAGTTAGATCACATGTTGGGGCCAGGAACTCAAATACAGTGAGACATGAATCTATTACTAGATAGGTTCAGATAATTGGATTTGACTTGCCACTACTATCATTAAAGGCCAAAAACCAATCAGATGTGTTTAATCTACTGTACCTGATTAACCAATCAAATGCACACAGAGCAAGTGAGAGGTGGCATTAGCAGTAGTGGTACTAACAGTACAACTAGGGGCAGTGCTAGATCTCTTTGAATGGGAGGTGTATTAAACCGCTACACATCAAAAAAATTATCCGGATATTTTTCATCTTAGTTTGTGTTAAACTACCATTGTTCGTTCCATTTTTTTCTAATGTTTTCATAAATTTCTCCACATTTTAGCTTCCATTAGTAACTTTTAATCAGTGTCACTCAAATATTTTATTTCTTTTCTTCTTATCCGAATTCAGGTTTTGCCGACTACGAAAACAATTTGCCGACTGGGATTCAATATTTTGCCGACTATATGATGACTGGAGGAGTCCCCCCCCCTTTAGCACCGTCCCTGAGTACAACCTGAGACCTATTTTGTGTGAAAACAGACAAGTCAAATGACCAATTTATATTAACAGAGTAGAAGCAACTTTCACATTTCAATCCACCAGTGAGTAGTGACTGTCACCAGTGGTTTCCAAGGGCTAGGGAAGGCTGATCATTGTTAGAATGAGTCAATATAATGTGATTAATCCTTTTTACAACTGGCACTAAACTAATATACTGACCTACAGGTAGGCGCTGTTTATATGGTCTCAGGTAGGGATGAGCGAATAAGGATTTAAAGCGGCCAATTAATCGGTATCTGCTGATTATTTTAAAAATCACAAGATGACCAACAATGAAGTTATAAATGCAGTTTTATTGTTTACAATACACACTACTGCAGATTTCGATTTACCGTTTCAGGGCTTCCGTTTCCAGTGATTGTTTTTCCGTTAAAACGAACATGTTGCTAAGGGCCAATGTCAATGTTACTAAGTGAAGTCTAGTGGTTTTGTCCGTTGTTTTCTTATCCGTTGTTTATCATTTGTGAATGTAATTGTTATATTCGTATTTATCTCGTCATTGGCAACATTTTGATATATAATTTACGAAGCTTTGTGGATCATTTCATGTTTTTATTGATATTTTGGAAATTGTAGTGTATAAAAGGCCAGTAAATAATTTTAATAAAAACATGAAATGATCCACAAAGCTTTGTAAATTATATATTAAAATGTTGCCAAAGACGAGAAAAACACGAATATAACAGTTACATTTACAAATGAAAAACAACGGACAAGAAAACAACGGACAAAGACCACTAGACTTCACTTAGTAACATTGACATTGACCGTTAGAAACGTGTATGTTTCAACAGGAAAACAATTACCGGAAATTAAAGCGCTGAAACGGTAAATCGAAATTCACAGTATGTACAATTACAATCAGCTTCAATCTCGCATGTCAATAGTCAAAGTTTAGTTTTGGCAGATTATGGTGTAAAAACCGGATATTGTCAGCTTTATGCAGAGCTAGTCTGCTGCATTTGTCCGCTGGTATATGGACACGCTTGTAACGGTTGCAAGGGAAGAACGAGAAATGCATTGACCTCTTCCTCAAGATTTGGAAGACCATAGATCTTGACACAGGTTTTGAGACAAAAGACAAAAGACGTGGGTTTTGCAACAAAATGTGAAAATCTATTCACTTGTATTCAGTATTTAGCATGTGCTTGGCACTGCAGAAAAAGTCTTATGGCTGATGATTATTTGACAATTATCAGGCAATAATCGGCCAATTACCTATTATTTAAAAAATGGCCGATTAATCAGCTTTGCAGATTATTCACCGATTAATTGGCTCATCCCTAGTCTTGGGTACCAGGGACACCCTAGGCTGTTAGGGGTAAGTTGCGACAACCAACAGGGCCTTTTTTATGCGACAGCGCGGTTTTGAAATCCCGACAAACGACGGTAAAGAAGGGCGAAAAAGTGACAGCGACATTGTTTTATTTATTTTCGACAGCGACAGCGCTATATTTCCAAAAGTGACAACGACGTTGGCACAGAGAAGGCTCAGACATTCAGTCTACTCAAGTTTCTGTAAAGGGGCTAGCATAAACAGTCGATATACATGTCGAATATTCTTTTCACAGTATTTTTTAAATGCATTTTGTCGTAACTTGCTAATATTAACAAGTTACTACAAAATGGTTATACAATGAAACCGATATACAAAAAGTTGTCCCTCCTACAACTCTACAAGGGTAACCCTGTTTCGTAACCTACCGGCTACCGCCAGGATGACCCTACCAGCTACCGCCAGGATGACCCTACCAGCTGAGACGAGTTGAAAACTTTCCATATAAACGTTTGCGTTTGAATGTTATATAATGAATATAATTTTGCTTCTCCCAGGGTAGCTCGGGGAGTAGGGTGTCCCTAGTACCCGAGATCATATAAACAGCACCCTAGACTGTCTAGACTACGTCGCAACAACGTTCCTTGTGCTCGCATTACTCTGTTAATTTGTGAGCTCTCATGCAGTGATTTCTGTCATTTTTAACAACAAAATAAACTCTCTACCTCAATATCATCCTGTTGGTCTTCTTTTTCCCATTCTTCTTCACTTTCGTCTTCGTCACTGCCAAGATCTGGTCCAATGTAGTTGCCAAACTCATCGTACAAATCAGCGTCCATTTTGGAAAACGTGCGAACAAGAAACGTGTTTCCACAATTTTCTTTCATGGTCCTTCAAAATCCTTTGAAGTTTAGTTTCCTTTCCATATGTTTATTGTTTATAAGTTGCTAAATTTATAACCTAACATTACTTTTTTTAAAGAAATTAGTTCAATCACAATAATTTAACATATCCTTGAATTCTGCTTCATATTCTCTACATTTTGCCGTGTAATTTAATATCTGTAAATATGTTTAATACATTTAATATTTCCTTTTTCAGGAAAAAATAGAAAAAACGGAAGCAGAATCAGCCCGCGATATTTGTGCACATTTCCAATATGGCCGCCGTTTTTGTTGTTGGAGCACGTGTTAAAATGATTTCATTTCTTCGTTAAAACATAGTTAGTAGTTCATTTTTAAACATGGGACGACTTCGTAAACGCCACAACTGGAAAGCACGCCTGGTTGAAGATAATAATAATAAAGCAGAGCAAAAAACCGAAGCAAACAATTCAAATATTGTGAAAAGCTCTTCAACTGTTGAGAATGACTTGGTTTATGGCAACGCGTTAAACGGCAGCAATATGCTGGCTTTGCCCTCTAAGAAAGCAGAGAAGGAAACAAGATATCTGCATCTACCTACAGAGAAGAAACATCTCAGCAAAAAAGCGAGAAAACGTCTAGAAAAAATTGTTGAAACAAAAAAGAAAAAATCAAAGCGTGCAGATGTTTTGAAGTTGCTGGCACAGTCATCAGTAAGTGAGAATGAGATTTCTCAATATAGCTCAGCAAGTAGACTGGGACAGGTGAATAACAGCGATTTGAAAAGGAAATTGTCTGGTGAGGTGCAAGAGAGTAACATACAGCCATTAGTGAAAAGAGGAAGAAAGAAAGGAAAGAAAGAACGACTGAGAATGAAAATGAAAAAGTTGGAAGAAAAGGAGGATGTTCAAGTGGAAACAAGCTCAGGTGATGATGATAATGATGATGTCGCCAGTGATAATGAAAAACAGGATGAAGTGGAAGCACTGAAAAATGAAATGGAAAGACAGGAAAAGCAAGAAGTTGAAGTGGATGAAAAAGAAAAGGAAATCGAAAAGAAATCACATGTAGAGGAGCAAAATGTTTCATCTGGTATTTCATTTGACTCACCACATACTAAAGAAGGTAAAGTAGAACAAACAATTTCTGAACAGCAGACCAGTGGAAACTCAACTGATACATCAAAACATACTGAACAGTCAACTATTAAAACTTCTTTGAACAGTGGAAATTCAGCAGAAATTACAAAAGGTACAGCAGAAGAAACTACAAATTCTTTGGATGTGGTGGCAACAACAGCCAAACCTTCTGTTTTTGTTCAAGTTAACCGTGATCCTGAGATTCAAACTGCTCGGCTACAGCTACCAATCCTAGGTGAAGAACAAGCAGTTATGGAAGCTATCAAAGAAAATGAAATTGTTCTTTTAGTTGGTGAGACAGGGAGTGGGAAGACAACACAAGTCCCACAGTTCTTGTACGAGGCAGGTTATGCCCTCCAAGGAACTATTGGTATAACTGAACCAAGAAGAGTTGCGGCTGTTAATATGTCACAAAGAGTTGCATTAGAGATGTCTTTGCCGAGAAGTAAAGTATCCTATCAAATTCGATATGAAGGAAACACAACATCAGAAACATGTGTGAAATTCATGACTGATGGTGTACTCTTAAGAGAAGTTGAAAAAGATTTCCTTCTGTCAAATTATTCTGTCATTGTCATTGATGAAGCTCATGAACGGAGTGTCTACACAGATATCCTTATTGGTTTGTTGTCCAGGATTGTTCTGTTAAGGAAAAAACAAGGAAATGTTTTAAAACTTATCATTATGTCAGCAACACTCAGAGTAGAAGATTTTACCAACAACACAGCCCTGTTTAGTCCCACTCCACCTGTAGTCAAAGTTGAATCTCGCCAGTTTCCTGTGACCATTCACTTTAATAAGCGCACACCAACAGATTATGTGAATGAAACTTTTCGTAAGGTAGTTAAAATTCATAAAACCCTCCCGGACGGTGGCATCCTTGTATTTCTAACAGGGCAAAATGAGATTCATTCTCTCTGTAGGAAGTTAAGGAACATCTTTCCCTACAAGAACTCCTTGAAACCTTCAGACCAAGAGAACACAAGTGAGAAGAAAGCTGGAATTAACCTGGATGATTATTCAATGTCCTCCAAGACTATGGTAATTGACAGGGAGATGGAAGATGAAGATGTTGGAGAGGCAGTAATTGCTGATGATGATAGTTCAAGTGAGTCAGAATGCCATGACACCCAATGTTTTGATGATACAAATTCATCACCTATGTATGTCCTACCTCTTTATTCATTACTCTCCAATGAGAAGCAACGAAAGGTATTTGAAACTCCCCCAGATAATGCGAGGTTTTGTGTGGTTGCCACAAATGTTGCCGAAACCTCGCTAACCATTCCAAACATCAAATACGTTGTTGATGCTGGGATGGTGAAGAGAAGATATTATGACAAGACAACAGGAGTGTCTTCTTTTAAAATCACATGGACATCTCAAGCGTCAGCCAATCAAAGAGCTGGAAGAGCTGGTCGAGTTGGTCCTGGTCATTGCTATCGCCTTTATTCGTCTGCAGTGTTTAACAATGATTTTGAAGAGTTTACTCAACCTGATATTCTCAGACGACCTGTTGACGATCTCGTTCTGCAGATGAAAGCTATCAACATTGATAAAGTTGTCAACTTTCCTTTTCCAACTCCGCCAGAAAGTAAAGTTCTTGAAACAGCTGAGAAGTTGCTCATTGATCTCGGAGCATTGGCACCAAAGAAGACGAGGAAAGGAGTTATTACTTCAATAATCACATCTCTTGGTCGAACCATGACGAAATTTCCTGTGTCCCCACGTTATGCGAAGATGCTTTGCTTGGGACATCAGAATCAGTGCTTGCAATATGTCATTGTCGTTGTTGCAGCTCTTACGGTCCATGAAATATTTTCATCAGGAGGCCGTGAAGGTGAAGACAAGAAAGAACGAATAAGTAGCATTACAAAGCTCAGAAGAAGATGGGCTGGTGATGGTTTGTCTCAGTTGCTTGGTGATTTCATGGTTATGTTACGTGCTGTTGGTGCTGCCGAGTTTTCTGGTTGTTCTTCAAAGTTTTGTCAATCCAGTGGTCTGCGACACAAGGCCATGGTTGAGGTGCGCAAACTAAGAGTCCAGTTAACAAACGCAGTCAATGGCGTCAATCCAGATGCTCAGCTGTATGTTGATCCAAAGATGAAACCACCATCACCATCTCAGACAAAGATCTTGAGACAGATTATTTTGTCCTGCTTTGGTGAGAATGTTGCTCGTCGTATGTCTGCTGAAGATTGTGCTAATCGACAAATCAAGAATGCTTATGAATGCCACCTGACTGAGGACCCTGTATTTATTCATCCAACCTCTGCTCTCTTCACTGTCCTACCGGAGTTTATTGTGTTTCAGGAAATAGTGGAAACCACTAAACTTTATGTGAAAGGTAAGATGTTTAAAGTCTGTTTGCCAAATAGTCCGTTCAAACAATGATTCAGTGCATACAACTAGGAATACGCATCAATAAGCGTAATACATATATTTTAGGTTCAATTCTTTTGTATTTTAAATTTCGAGGCTTTCGGTGTTAAGTCGTTCATTTTTAATCCAGTTTTTGTTTTATGACAGTATTTTATCAAATCCTGGCTTTTTATTGTGACCTTTCTGCCTCAGTGATCACTTTTTAGTTGAAAAGCAGTCGTTTTTGTAGGCAACCTACTATGAAATTTAGTTCTAAACTTGATACAGGATTGTCCAAATTCAACCGAATTGTTTTCGCTCTATTTTCGCTGTAGATGATGAGTAGCTGTGGGAATGTAAAAGTCGCGTCGTGTTGACGTTTATCCTTTTGGTTTTGTTATTGTTGAGACTTTAGCGAGGTTCAGATTTGACTTCCACTACCGCTACCATTAATGGACTATTAACCAATCAATTGCGTTTGACATATCCGATTAACCAATCGTACGAAGCGTACTGAGCCAGTGAGGTACTCTATTTAGGTACTCTGGCTAAGAATGTTTTGTTACAATGTCGACCAGATGACAGTAACTGACCACAGCAAGGCCGCATTTTGAGGGGAGGTGCGCACCTCCCCTAAGATCGTTTTGCACCTCCCCTGAGAATTTTTGCACCTCTCCTTGGGAAAGTTTCAATGATAGATCAAAGTGAAAATTTGACATTTTTTGGTTGCTTAGGGTCTACACTTCGTACGAAGGTTTTTCTGTAAAATTGAAACAGTGATAGCCAGTCATCTTTGTGTCAAGTACCTTTTTAATACAATGTTTTGAAAGAAGCTTTGTAGTAATTGTAATGAAGGGCAAAATTGGATGAGTTGTACAGTCATGATTCATTAATACACTGATACACATGTACACGACATGCATACGTCACGTCGTTGACTTTGGCCCGTTCTAGACCGCTGCCCCTCCCCTAAATTTTTTCCACCTCCCCCACTATTTCTGCCAAAATCCGGCCCTGGACCACAGTCGGATCATCGCGTTATAATACAGGTTCAGATTTCCACTACTACTACTTCTCACTGGTTTAGTACGCATCTGATTAGTTAATCGGATATATCAAACGCATCTCACTGGTTAATGGTCCCTTAATTTAATGGTAGCGGTAGTGAAATCTGAACCTCTCTGAGAGCCTGTTACTCGCCCAGGTGGGACAAACAAGCGCTCTGTTTATATGGAATCGAGTTACTCGGCATTTGTCGCATGATCGCCGAAATGGCGCCAAAATACAAAAAGGATTTTAGTCGTTTGAAACGTTAAAAAACGTTACAAAATGTCGTTAAAATACCAGAATAAGCGCCGAGAAATTCAGGAAAACTTAGCTAATGGTTCGTATGTGTTTTTGAGCTATTATATTTCAAATACAAAGCGCATACATTCTATCTCAGGCGGCCGGGCAAAGTGTTTACATGGAAAATATTCATCCCGCGCCTAACCGATGTCCCGCCTCTTTCTGCCGGGAACTCGGCAAGGCGAGTTTATACTCGGCTGCATCATGTGAACAGTCACCCGGGATAACTATTAGTTTCTATAATAGCCGCGATCTCGCCGTTGCCAAGTAACTCGCTTTGCCGAGTAACTCGCCTCCATGTAAACAGACCCTGACATAGCTAACGTTCCCACGTGGCAAAACTCCTCTAATTTTTCTTAATATCGCTATTCTTGGGGCAAGCTTCTTACACACTGTTTCTTGTAGGTGTCGCCGCCGTTGAGCCAGACTGGTTTGCTCTGTTAGTTCCACAGCAGTGCTCCTTTTCCAAACCTCTGAAAGATCCCGCTCCGAGGTTTGACCAAACTGAAGGAATTGTTAAATGCCACATAAATGTTTCGTTTGGAGCTCGAGTTTGGTGTCTGCCTGTACAAGAGTTAGAGCATCCAAAATGTACCGATAGGTACAAGTTGTTTGCTCGTTTTCTCTTGGAAGGTCACGTTGTGTCAAAGTTAGCCTCTTTTAGTCAGAATCTTTTGGCGCTACCATCAACTATGGTTAAGACCTGGTCAAAGCTGCAGCCACGAACAGAAATTCTGTTGAGAGAACTTGTAGACGGTGGTGTTGATGACAAGGCTAGTTTACTTGCGATGTGGAAGAAAGATACAAACTATTTGTTGAAGGCGTATCTACAATGGATTCCGGAATCCAAACATGATGCGGTCATGAAGATATGGCCTCCTGTTGAACTGTAATGGAGACTGAGCTAGGGTTCAGCGCTGCTTCTGCTCTTATTGAACATAGCAGGGAATTTAAAGACGAATTAAAACGATTATGTATAGTAACTGTCTAGGATGCGATTTACAGTTTAGCCAATTCGCTAACGGCCCGTGCACACACTGCGATTTTCTGTACCAGATGGATGTGAAGGAGTGGATGAGTTATAAATGTTCCAGGTTATGAAATTTCGTAACAACGTCATTAAGTAATCTACTCCTTCATATCCTCCAAAAGGAGAAAATCGCAACTAAAATCGCAGCAAAAATCGCCCGTGTAAACGGGCCTTAAACAAACACGCGTATGGAAATTTCGCAATTAACTAATCAAGAATTGTGGCGTCGACAGTAATATTCGTACGCCAGAGAATGACAATCGTATACGACTAATTCAACCAGACTTAAGGTGGCTCGATACAGTTTTTTAAAACTGGAAAATTTGCGATTTAGATCCGTTTGGACAAGTATTACTTGTTGAACAACAAAAAACATCTTACTGATGTAAAACAACATCGAAACTCTAAAGAGTTTTCGAAATGTTTCACAACAGTTATGCAACAACGTTTCAAAAGTTGTTGAAACGTCGTTGTTGCCATATAGCAATGGCAGTTCTGTAACTTTTTGTTAAAAAAGCAAATCCGTTAGATGTTGTTTTACATCGGTTCAAAGATACTTTTTGTTTTTAAACAAGTAATAATTGTCCAAAAATACGGATCTAAAGCGTGAATTTTCCACTTTTTTTTAAACTGTATTGAGCCACCTTAAGATCGACAGCTTTGACAACGAAATAAACATTGTGCATGTTTCCACAAAACGAAAGCGAGGAGGGAAATTCAAAAATGATAAAAAGAAACAACACGAAAGAGCAAATACTCATTCATAAAGTAACCTGTATTCTCAGGCTATGAATAAAGCCAAAGGCGTCTTCTTTATTAAGCATAAATAACAGCAATTTGTTATTGAACAGCACAACGTGAAATACATTTCATTTAAAATTCAGAATCAAAACCCTGGCCAATCAACTGTTGTCGTCGATTATTTTCAACAGCAGTTGTAACCATACTTCGACACTTGATGTGGCTGAAGCTCATCTCGCCATAATGCTGTGGACAAAGATAAAGAAATTGTTGTAAATACCGGATAGCTTTCCGTAGCGACGTGAAAAACACCTATCCGTACCTTTTAGGAACGCTATTTTCAGAGGAATTATTGCAAAGGAGAGGTCAGTGAGCTCTTATATATATATATCTGGAGTAAGAACTTCAGTCATTCGGTCAAAGAGAAAAGTGAAGCCAAGATGGCGGCCATTGACATTCAATAGCTCTGAAGGTCGTAAACAGTTTTTATACCATTTTCCCCAGCTAATTCCAGTTTTCTCTAATGGACTGTATCACTAAACAAGTTATCAGTTCATAAAATCACAATATTATTCTTTAAATCGAAGTCAAAATACGAAATTTCAACACACTCCTTGCCAAGATGGCGGAAATTGAAGGAGCTATTGGACGTCAGTTCCAGTCCCTTTCTATTGTTTTTGTATGCGCGGTTAACACGAAACTGGCTTCACTTTGAGCAACCAAGTTCCCACTCCAGATATATATGGAGCTCACTGGGAGAGGTTTGGTTTCGCTCAGCTTCTGAAAGTTGTACATTCCGTATCGGACAGGTGTTTTTCGCGCCGCTACGGAAAGCTATCCGGTATAGTGTAAATGTAGCATATATGTGAGACAATTTTACGTTAGTGTCACAGTTAGGGCAATCCCGTTTTGGTCTAGTGTTACTCCAGTACATGACGAAACCCGATTGTCCAAATAAAACCTGTGGTGTCACTTCTCACATAGCTTCGCGTGCGATACAGGAGAATTTATGCATGAGAACAAATTACTACTTACAGACAACAATATTTGAACTTTATGCACCACAAGAACTGCAACAGCTACTCCAAGAAAGTGAAGATCCCTGATTGATGAACCTGTAAATTATATGGACTTATATTTACTGCGCCACTTATTGAACAGATACATGTACATGGTATTTATTGGTGGGTTTCACTGGCCACAACAGATGGTGATGAAACAGCAGTTATCAGAATGGAAAATGATGTCTTTTCATCACATGACTGTATTAGTCTTATTTGTAGGCATATGAACAAATATCCATATAGAGGATGTCATCAGGTCTAAAATATGCTGAGTATTTGTCTGTTCTTAGTACACAAAACAATGTCAGGTGACTTGCACTTCAAAAGGTTTCAATTTAGTTTAGCCAATCAACACCTCGCACTAGGCCACGATAATTTATTAGCTTTTACAATTTCAGACAGGGAGTCCGCAACAGCGCTAGTTAATTACTGCGGACCATAGATATCTTATATACACTAGTTAGTGCATCTAATTATTCTGCAATTCAAAAATTGAAGCCGTGATTGCAGTCTCAGGTCGTTCCCATGAAATGAGAAGATTCGTATGTTTTCTATTTCTTAAACAGGGAACTTAAACATTAAGCTAACCCTATTCCAAATACATTTTTAAACTATTCAAATGATGAAAGTTATTGTTGTTTTTAAGCGTTTATTAGCAAGTGGGAACGACCAACATGGCCGCCATCTATTTAAATGGGGGTAACCGCTGGAATATTCTTGGCTTCAATTTTACTAAAAGAGATGCGCTATCTAGTGTATATAAGATATCTATGCTGCGGACCCATTAGACTAGAATGGCACTTAGGAGACGTGACATTCGTTAACTCGGATCTGAATGTCCCGGGCTAACTGAATTTCCCAATTTCGTTAAACTTTTTTTCTTCAGGCTAACACCCTGTTGAACACAGTAGAACTTCAGATAGTTTAACTAGGTAGTTCCTAACTTCCTAGAGGTATCAACAGTACTACTGACAAGCGTTGTATTTCAAATTTGCATCAGTCATTTCAGAAACACTTTTTATACCGTTCATGTCGTACATTTTTAATTAAGTCGATTATTTTCTCTTGAAAATATATCATTTTATGTGCAAAGCTTACATATAATCAATTTAATTCGTTTCGTTCGAGGTCGACTTGTGGCAAGCGACTTCGTCGCTTGCGCTCGCTGCTCGCGTTTCGTTCGAGGTTGACTTGTGGCAAGTCTACTCATCTAATGCCATTTAGAACTCTAACTTGTAAAAATCTACGTAATTCAGCCTGTATGGCTGCTTTCCATAATTTATTACGTGAACGTTTTTCAAGTTCCACTCTTTGCATGATTTTTTGGGGATCTGCCCACCCATCAAGCCCCCTCCCAGGATATCTAATGGTCCACCCCTAATTTAAACAGTTGTGTCAAGACCTATTAGTACCTGTAACATGTCTCCATAGAGACTTCAACTGTGAAAGAAACCATCTGTGCCAAGACGACCATGTACTATTGAGAACACTGGAGCAACAACACGACAATAACTGTAGAGCTGTAGACACTGCAAAATATAAATTATCAGGGTAAATAAATATTAAACCCACTTTATAGTGGGAGTTCGATTTCTCCATTAAAATTTCAACACAACCTCAGAATTTCCCAAGAAATCGACATTGTTTTAAGGTGGCTCCCTACAGTTATTCTTGTTTAAGCAATAATTCCGTAAAACAGGCTTATTTGTGCAGAACGCGAATTCTTTTCGACTTGGTGGTAATATTGGTCACCTAAGGAATATTTCGAACTAGATTCCGACGATGTCAATGTTCCCATGGCAACATGACGACAGCATAAAGCCTTCCAATTTAACCCATAAATGTGCCGCTATCTCAAAAACGATGTCGGTGACCTATCTTTTTTATTTCATATATCAATAAGGAATGATGCTCTGCAACTGTGGTGAAAGTTTTAAAAAATTCTGTAGTGTGTGATTTTTTTAAAAGCGAAAAATTTATTGCGAAATTTCCACACTACAGATTTTTTTAAAATTTGAAATTTATAAAATTTACCGCAAAATAAATTCGTGGTCAAAATTTGAAGATAGGTCACCGATGAAACTAATGAGTAAAATGCAAATAAAGTTAAAAAATAGCCTCGTGTAACTCGAGAAATTCCCCTATTGAAAAGCGTCGCTGACTAGTAAAAGATTGTACGCGGGCGCAGAACGAGTTTTCATTCAGCAAAATCGAGCCGCAATGTTGTTTTTACTGTTTTGTTTTTGTCAACTTTTCGATTTATTTGAGTGCTACGGACAGCCAAGGATTATTTTGAAGGATTAAATCGATGAAAACAAGGTTGAAGCTAATTGAATCCTGCCGTTTACTCAATCTATGAGCTGTAACAGCCTATTAACAGGTGGACGTGTTTTTGTTTCATGTTTGGTTTTGTACTTTTTGCTAAAAATGAACAATTAGGCTATGAAACTGAAATATTTTTCTGTTTACATATAATCACTTTAATCTTGTAGAAACACGACTAAAAACGTGAACGTTTTCTTGAGAAGTGAACAACTTTTTAAACGTTTGTATGCAATTTTGCAAATGTTTTACAGTTGACAATGTATATTTTAAAAACATTAAAAAACATTGTTTCGTAGCTATTTTTGGTCTAGTGGTATTCGTATCATATGTAGAATTGCTGTATAGACTCGCAAGTAATTTGGCACTCAAAACGAAGTATTATTCAACGCTTTTTCCCATTAGAAACCTTTCAGAAATAGCTTTTTTTAAAAAAAAATAATTTGTTTTGTTTTGATCATGCGGTTGCGTGGGATAGTTCACGTACTGGTCCCGCGAACATCCCGCATGCAACTGTAGGGAGCCTCCTTAAGGACAAAAGATTTTAGGTGCCTGGGAATTTAAAATAGCACAACTGTCAAAATTACTGCACACGTGAGTGCCGCCGTCCGTCCGCCTTTTATCTACACCCGAGTGCATAAAGCAAAATTTATGCATTTATTTAATGACACTTAATAAGTTTTTATTTTACAAGTACAGTACAACAACAGTAATATGATCTATTAGCAATTCCCAGGGGCCTAAAATCTTGGATTTCTTAGGAAATTCTGAGGTTGCGTTTTTTTTATACACCCTGTACTGTACAGGGTGTATAAAAAAAGGAGACCTTTAGAAATCAAGCATATTGTTAAAGTTTGAATGCCTTTTCAATTGCACATATGCTGAACCGTGGTGCGTGAAATATTGATGGAGTGCATATATTAGAAAAAGGAGACCTTTAGAAATCAACCATTGTTATAATTTGAATCCTGGAGCACTTTGCTAAGCCCACGAGTGCGTAACATGCGATCTACGTACAGTATGCATGGCAGATTGTTCCCAGGAGCAGACAATCTTTTGTTTAAACGTTATTTCAATTTCTAAAGGTCTCCTCTTTCTAATATACAGGGTGTCTCAAAAAAAAACAAAATCATTGAAATTGACGTATTGTTCGATATTCAATGCCCTAGCACTAAGTTAATCCCACGAGTGCATAAAAGATTGACATAACTGCTATAATGAATGGTAATACTTAGCGTAAACTTGTTATGTCAGGCATAAAGTACTAAACCCACGAATGCATATTACGCATATTACAATTTACGAAGCATTTTTAAATTCCCATGAGCAAACAAACGTTCACTTTACAAAGATATTTTAATTTTTTAAAACAAATTAATCACCCTGTCAAAATCCTTTGTGTTACGGCATTGAAATTCGAACAATACGTTATTTCAATGATTTTGGGGTTTTTTGAGACACCCTGTACAGGGTGTATAAAAAAAAAGGAGACCTTTAGAAATCAACCATATTGTTAAAATTTGAATGCCTTTTCAATTGCACCTATGCTGAACCGTAGTGCGTGAAATATTGATGAGGTGCATATATTAGAAAAAGGAGACCTTTTTTCAAATTGAAATAACGTTTAAACAAAAGACTGTCTGCTCCTGGGAACAATCTGCCATACATACTGTACGTAGATCGCATGTTACGCACTCATGGGCTTAGCAAAGTGCTCGAGGATTCAAATTAGAACAATGGTTGATTTCTAAAGGTCTCCTTTTTCTAATATATGCACTATATTTCAATATTTCTAATATATGCACTATATTTTAATAATACATACACCCTGTATGCACCCCATCAATATTTCACGAACTACGGTTCAGCATATGTGCAATTGCAAAGGCATTCAAATTTTAACAATATGCTTGATTTCTAAAGGTCTCCTTTTTTTTATACACCCTGTATGCACCCCATCAATATTTCACGAACTACGGTTCAGCATATGTGCAATTGCAAAGGCATTCAAATTTTAACAATATGCTTGATTTCTAAAGGTCTCCTTTTTTTTTATACACCCTGTATGCACCCCATCAATATTTCACGAACTACGGTTCAGCATATGTGCAATTGCAAAGGCATTCAAATTTTAACAATATGCTTGATTTCTAAAGGTCTCCTTTCTTTTTATACACCCTGTATGCACCCCATCAATATTTCACGAACTACGGTTCAGCATATGTGCAATTGAAAAGGCATTCAAATTTTAACAATATGCTTGATTTCTAAAGGTCTCCACCTTTTTTTTATACACCCTGTACAGTATATTACGTTTATAAATTTACTTTTTTCATACCAATAAAGATCAGGCTTTTGGCTGTTGAATGCTACCTTTCTAATCGCATTTTTCCACCGTTGGGAATTGCATGTAAAGCTATTGTCTGAGTATTGAAATTATTCTCATTTGGGATTCAAATTGAAGTCCCTTGAGTCAATATGGCACAAGTCATGTGTAAGGATCAAGTTTTGATAAACTTTTACTCGCAATTTTACATTGAAAGTGAGTGGCAAAAAACATTTTACAACACTGGAAGCTTGCAGACTGGACATACTGGAACACGTTTCCCAAATGGGCAATTGGAAGAAAAATATTCAAAATTAAAGAGAAATATTCAAAGAAACATTTGGGCACATATTCGAAAATTGGAAGAACATTTAAATCCCAAAATGCGAATTGAACCGATCACTTTAAATTAGATCGGTTAATTGGTAATTTTTTTATTGCAATCACTCGATAAAGGTGACATTTGAGAGCTAATTAAAAGCCTGATCTTTAATATAAATACGAGAACGAAAACCTATACGTATTAATGCACAATAACATAACATGCCAGGATTACCTTTTTTATACACCCTGCAGTGAATTTATAGATTTAATTAATGTTAGTTTAATTAGGGTAAAGATTAGCGTTAGGGTTGATATAAGGGTTATAGCCTTGGGGGTTAAATAGAAAAAGCAGTACGAAAAGTGCAGTTCCATTAAAAGTGTGTGAAGTATAAACCCTTTCGAGATGCTAGAACAGGTTTACTTAGTCCTTTTAGATCGAGTCAGACATAGATAAGTTTATCGCTTGATAACGCAAAATTACGGCATCATTCAAATTGAGGCCTTGCCCCTGATGAGAACATAAGACATTACTTACACTTCTGCACAAAAATCCCAGGTGTAGACCTGATCACATAACGAATACCACGTTGAACAGACAACAAAAATTTCCTAACTGATGAAGGTTCGTGTTTTTCAATGAGACCAGCCATTGTACCAGCCAACCTGTCAGAATTAATACAACACTATTATCAGAGCCATCGTCTGGTAGCAAATGTTAACATCGCACAATAGCCACATTTTTAGGTAATGGCCAAATTAGGTTTTGAACACTTTTCAATGCGACATTGAAAGAAATTGCTCTTAAACATACTAGTAAGTTAGTTGTGTGACAAAAACTGGGTTGAATGTACAACCATCTTTTTTATTACAATGCGCTGCACATACCTTCCTGCAAAATCTACCGCCAACCTTTGATCATGGCTGTTGTTAAATCCTTGTACAAGAAGACGAGCAAAAACACGACCTTGTCTAAAAAAGAAAGATAAATAAAATTTAATTCCTATATTCCAATCAACAAAGGCATGTTATTGAACATGCCTTCAAACCTTAACCCATCACTGTTCAAAGGTCTCTTCTTGTCAAGTAAATAGTGTGGTATATGGCAGAGTAAAACAATAAAATTGAGGCTGTCACTTAGGTTCATTGCAGCTTTTAACCAATGACAGTGTAAATACTCATTACTAATTAAATGTAACATGTTACTATAAATTACGTACTTTTTGAGAAATTTTAAAGTAATTAAATAAATTAATTACTTTCTGTAAAGTAATTTTGTTACATAATTCCTTTTAAAGGTAACAAGTATCATTTTGCAGAAAGTGATTTTGCATATTTACTGCTATGAATATTTTCCAACCTCCACAATGCTGGAAATTTAAGAAGGAAGTGTCTTTGTTGAGGGTTAACTAGTAATGGAACTGCATAGACCTTATGCTCGATATACATGCAGGATGATTATACAACTTGTTCGTGTATGTTGCTTAAGTACATTTTGATATTGTAGCAATTCAGTCTTAATTATTAGCATGCCATGATAAAAAGTAATTTGACAAGTAATTTGTACACAATTACTTTGTAACAAGTAATTGGTAATTAATTACTTTCGAATTAATGAAAGTAACATGTAGTTTGTAATACCTTAACCTTTTCAAAGAAGTAATTGTAAGTTTTACTCATTACTTTTCTTTGGTAATTTTTACAACACTTTCTTTGAACTAATTTGTTTATTTGTATAGACTAGTAATCATACCTAATTTTAGTGTGCAGTGATAACCAATTTGTGCAGTGATAAAAGTAAAATGTGCAGTGATAAAATGTAAAATGTGCAGTGATAAAATTTTCTGTGATAAGTTGTTAATTATAACACAAGAAAATGAGGCAATGAGCAGAAAAACTGGACTAATCAAAACATTTTGAATGAGAATAATTTGAATGAAATTGAAATGATGTCTGCCAAATTATTACGTCCGCACTAATAATATACTTAAGGTTCATCAGATGAACAAAGTCTCTCACCAAAGATCTCTTTATGAGTTTGAAAGATGGAGTGAATGATACTTCATACTTAAGATTTTGTGATTAATGCATAAACTTCAAAAATCTATAGAATGTTCCAGTACATTGCAGGAGATGCCCTTTTATCACTAGTGCCTACATTACAAAATTTTCTGTGGGTGCATGCCACTGGAACTCCTCTAGATCGAGGTTTGTCACGCCTAAGCTGCCTTTCATTTGCCAAGATGAAAATATTTATTTTCTTTAAAGGATTAGTGTCACACCAGGAATTTGCAGGCTCAAACTCTTGCTGGCGGCCATTTTTCGTAGATTCGGTGATTTTACAATCCGTCATATATAAACCATTCTTTTACAATCCTTGCTCTTTTTGTGTTATTTTTATCAGAAATGTACCAAACAAGGTATTTTTATCGCTATTTGTTGTATTTGAGTAACATGTAAACAATAACAAAAGCCCGCAATGCATGACCCTGACACTAATCCTTTAAGTGTTTATGAAACTATGCTGTCATAGATAGCCATAACTGCAGGTGTCAATGCCGCCCAGAGGGGTGCAATTTGCCCTGGGACCCCAGTTACAGGCGGGCCAAAATAAAGAATTATAGTGAAATCTAAATAGATATAACTGTCAACTAGACTTCCAGAACGCAGGATTTGGTCATTTCTGGGACTTCAGATTTCACAATTTTTCTGGGGGATAGTGTTAGAAGATGGAATCACAAGGGCCCCCAAGTCAATGTTTGTCGTGGGCCCTCAAATTTCCCTGGGTGCTGTGCAGTGTATGTTCGTTTTGGCATTTTTGAATATTAATTCTAGCCTGTTTTGTTGTTACACATTATAAGGGTGTGTTCAGAAATTTTCAAGGTGTGCTTCTGTTCGGCTAAACTTTGCACAAAAATGTGCAGTGATAAAAAATTCTTAAAATTACGTATGGACTAGTTTCACCAAGCACTAGTGATTCAATGGCAGACTATGGTGAACTGGAAATTTGATGAGTTACTAAAGAGATTTTGTTATATTATTATTACTAATCTCAATAAACCAACCACAAAATTTTGTCCTCAGGCATAACTCAGAGATCCCAAGGATAGTGCAAAGTTGACATGACAAATGATAAAGATTTATTTTGATTCGCATAATGTATGAAATAGCTCCATAGCAATATCAGGGCCTCCGAGAGAATTAGCGGAGCCCGGGGCAAATCTTCTCTGGGGGACCCCATGACATCATTATTTTTAAGCTAGACCCAAGTCAGTCACCCAAATAGACTTTAGCTAGACTGCATGTGGAGCTACTGTAAGGGGCCTTCAATTTCAAAAATGCTCTGACCAATTTAAAGAACCTACTCAATATCAGGCTCTCACTCTCAAGTTTGGGCCCTATTAAGGTGGGGGCCTGGGGCAATTAGCCCCCATCCCCCCCCCCCCTCTCAACGGCCCTGCATGGCATACTGTTAAAGGTTACTAATGCTGGAAAGTGTTCTTTAAATTAGCCAAAGTGTATTATTTTATTAGACAAATACACACAATTTCCTGGGTGTTCAATAATTCGCACAGCATAATATATTTATTTATAGTTTCTACTAGTTGTTTCATCGAGGTCAAGTCTTGAGGAATCATAAACTGCTATTGTTTGTTAAGATGTCAGAACGTTACTTTTCATTAAGGAATTGATGTATCTATAAGGAAGTTGTCTGGCGTTTGTTTTAATATATTACAAGCGACGACAGTACTTAACCAAGTAATTTTCCTATTTTTCCTAGGAGATAGCCCACAATAACTTGTGGACTATCTCCTTGCCTTCTGCGTTGACATAACACACCCTGGCGAGTCAAGGGTTGTCCAATAATTTGTATTTTCTACCCATTTTTCCGTTGTACAAAATAAACCGCCTTCAAAAATTGAAATGAAACAAAAATGAACATTGAACAGCTTGCAAGAAATTGTTGTCACCTGACATAGTGACATTCAAAATCATTTCCAAATTTAGAAAGCCAATGAGAAAACAGGATGGGTTCATGTCGACTGTGTGCTGGCCACATGCTCCAGAAGTTGCTGTCAGGGTTGCTGTCTTAATAGTTAATATGCAATCCTATACAAACTATGGACAACTAAATATTTCACACTAGTAAAATATTTTACAGTTTATCAATGAAATGCCATAAGTGAGAAATACCGATATAGTTTGACAAAAGCTTGGAATGACTGATTATATAAAACGTCTCGCAAACTATACAAACTGACTACACATTACAGTACAGAACTTTCTGCTAAAAAACCACGTAAATTAATTACTGTTTATTGCAGTAATAAATTTACATGGTGTTCCCACAAACAAAAGTATTATATGTTTGCAGTAATACATTTACGTGGTGTTTCCACAAAACATTATATGTTTTATCGCCATGCAATCCTACAAATAACTTAAATCTCTAATGTTTTAAATTCTTACTATTAGGCCATGTAAAAAATAATAGGTGATTGTATTATACTTTTACCAAAAATGAAGGCGAACTGGATTTTTTTAATTTCTATATTAAAATTTGAGTCAAACACTCCTCACTCATGGACATGCTGACTGAGGTGTAGCCACCGCCCCCTCATGGGGATGCTTCTGTCAGCATGTCCATCAGCTATTTTTCAAACTTTTTTCATAAGGGCAAGGCCATGACTGTTTATGCCCCCTCGCCCCATTCCTTACAGGTGCCTTTAACATGTTGCATCACCCATTAATTTGCTACCACGCCCCTGCTTAAGATTAAAATGATTGAACACCACCTGCTTCCATATCTTATCTGCATGCATGAATAGATATTAGAATTGATCTATAAAATTCTAAAACAATTTTGGCAGGTCAAACCTTAATCAATTTATTACAGTAAAACAGGGTTTCTTTTGTCATGTATAATATCCACCAATAACAGGTTTATAAAATAACATTAATAATTTTCATTCCCCATCGTTGTTCATGAATTAATAGTGATAAAAATCATTGGTCACCCCAGCAGTGAGCAGTCTACCTTAATATAGAAGGTTTCCTACAAAATTAAACATGTATAGTAACTGTATTGTATTAAAAACAGTGCCGTTGGATCAGTTTTTAATACAATAGTAAATAAGACTTACACAAATATATAGTGTATATGTCTTGCTTGTTTTGAATGCTCAGTTTCTCCAGATACTGCAACCGGCTCCCAACGATACGCTCGATAATTCCCTCCAGCTTGAGGAGAGATTTGGGTTTCATCAAAATAATGGTCTAGCGGCAAAGCTTGAGAATCGTCGAGTCTACCTGTCCAATAATTTGTAAAATATCCCACAGCCGCTGATGAATTTTCAAACAGTTTGTATAAGGTATCGATACGGCTAACATATCTATCGCCTTCGCCGTGATGTTCTTTACTTTTCCACACTGCTCGGCCACACTGTACGCCTCCAAATCGTCGAAAGTTATCATCGTTTGACGCGCAATGTTTATCACACTCAAACTTTGATTTTGTCCAACGACGGCTTCGTAATTGCAGACCTTGTCCCAGGGGAAAATACTTTGGAGACAGAAAGATATCAGCGAGAGATGGGGAAGCAACATCAACAAAAATAATCAAGGCTGCCATTGTTAAAGCAACAGCAAGTGAAACACACACAATCACCAACTGAATACTAGGAACTGGAAGAAAATTACTTTTCATCGGGGTCACAGGAATGCTGGTCTTCTTTGCATTCATCACTGGAATTAAAGTTGTCTGTTTGAAGACACAATATAGACTTTACCTCGAGCTTTGAGTTACACGTATATGAACTGTCTATTTGGCCCAACGTACAAAATCACACGATTTCACCTGATCTTTTCAACAAATGTACAACACATTCAACGAAAGGATTCTCCACAACACCACAAATAAATCTGCATTTGTTTCACAGAAAATATAAGGACAACAAACGCTGAGCTTTTGATGAGTTGAAAGGTTAAAATCAGACCTGAATCAGACATATATTAAAGTAATAATGTATATGGCGTTCTTGCATATTTAATTATCTCTAAACATGTCTATTGTTGTCTAAATCAAACGAGCGTTTTTATTGGTGGAGAAATGCAGCAGTGCAATTACAGTAGATAGGAAGACATATAAAGAATATTGTTCGTCTTATCTACATACAGCTGTTTGCTTTTAGGAAATTCTTCTGAGGCAGACGGTAGCATTAGGCCATTAGCATTTTAAATCTTCCTTAGGTTAAGTAGAAAAACTATTATGCTGGAAATTAAAAGTTGTAAAACAACATGCGACATGGAATGATCTACATTTTAATTAAACTAAACCTCATGCTGAGCTATCGTGGATCACTGTATAAAGACATTAAAGTGTAATAGTTCCGAAAGGTGTTTTAATAAAAAGAGAGGAAATATAGTATAGATCATCCAGTGGTGTATAAATATATGCAAGAAACGACAAGACGTACGTACACATCTGGTGTCGGTTGTTCAGAGGTGGGTTAGCGCTAACCCTGGGTTAAAATTTAACCTGCTGTTTTAGTTTGTGTATTTCTGCACGTCTGTTTATTTCAAAACTTCAGAGAAGTAAACTCCTATCGATCCAGACCGCAAGATCTCTGAACTGAGAAGTCTGAAGAAATCTTTCCAAATTTATAGACAAGCTGTCAGGAAGTTTGCTTTGAATTTTAGGTTAACCTAGCAAGCTAACCCAGCTTTGAACAGCCGGCCCCTGCAAATTTTCGCCTACGGACTTAATTTTCTGAAAACATATAGCTATACGGTTTTTCATCATTGAAAAACTAAGCATTTCATTTCCAATACGTGATATTTAATTTTGAGTACGTGGTATATTTGTTTTCACGAAGGCACTATATAACGACATAGTATAAGCGAAAGTCAAAAAGAGAGGTTAAAAAAACTTCGTTGACGATATTACCGCTTTTTGAAAACATGCCCACTGCCCCACTGATGTTTTTTCATAGAAATCTCGTTGTCGTTACACTGTAACAGACGTTATCGGTCGATATCTATTCTAGAAATGCAACGCCGGAAGTATCCTGTCTTCCTCCCACGGAATGTGTGGTTGAAGAACTTCAATATGTGCGGCCATAATTTATTTACACGTAATGCTCTTGACATATCACACGTGCGCTGCAAAACCCCTCTCTCCTCCGCAGAGGCTAGAGAAACGCAGGCGGAAACGAAATCGGGTTCATTTCGCGATCGTTGCAATCCTGCGTTCCTCTCTTGTATATTTATTTATGATCAGAGAAAACCTCTGAGGAGAGGAGGGTTATAAATTCATTTCTCGCTGTTTATGAATGCTGAGCCGTATATCCTTACCCTGACCCTAACTGGCAACAGCTAACCCTAACTCTTGAACAGCGAGACATGAATCAATCGAAGAGAGAGAGAGGAAAACTCCACGAGCGAGCGCTCTCTTTTTTATCTCGCGCATGCGCCCAAGAAAGCTCCGTAAACTTTATTCAGTTTATTAAATATGAATAGCCGTTGCCGAATGTTACTAAACTAACAACTACAAACTTAAAATGTGAATTAAAATGAATAAACTGGTTTTGATGAAAAAGTTATGAAAGATTCTTCAAACAAAAACACGAGCGATCGAAAATCCATTCCAAAAAGTAGTGGGAATTAATGGAGCCAGTCACAAAGCACAATTTGTTATAAGTTTCATGTCGTCCCCCTTCTTCTCCCCCCCTCCCTCCCAAAGATTTACGCCCTTGAACAAAAGAATATATCTTGTCAAAGGTTACCGATAGATATTACCACTTTACCATGATCATGTTGTACTCAATGCCGACATTCCCAAATTAACATGCATGGCATCAGGGACGCCGGAACTGGGGGGGCAGGGGGGGGGGGCGGCTGCCCCCCTTGCCTTTTGCTAGGGGGGGGGGGCAGGGGGGCAGAAGTGCCCTTTTAGTTGTAAAATAATACGTGATAAATCACATTTCCAACGATGCTTTTTGTAGGAAAATCACGAGATTCAGCTAATTTATAGTTTATATTTATAAAAATTGTGGGAAATTTTTGGAATTTAGACCCCTAAAATGGTACACTGACCGAAAATTTTGCAGTGAAAAAAAATTTTTCAGTAAAGGTGCCCTTGGTGTGCGTCCGCCCCCCTTTGCCCTATTATCGTTCCGGCGTCCCTGCATGGCATATTATCACTGAAAACATGCAATCAATGATAGATTTAATTTTTGTGAACAATCAGCCGCGTGTTCAGTGTCTTCAGTTCAAGCGGAACAGTTCCCGTTATCAAATATCAATCTGCGATTATTTACTTATCCGAGCTGGGAGTCCAGAAATCAGGGCAGATGTCATCGAGACATTAATTACTGTTGTTGCAAGCATTACGTACGACAAAAGCAATTTTGTTGATGATTTAGAAGAATCAGATTGGACTTTTGTTGATTCGTTAGACGACATTAATGAAATTGTAATTCGTAAACAAATAGTGGGATACATGTTCTGATTCAGCCACTAATATACATGCCCCATGCCAGTTGAAACTAAAAATGTAAAAACGACTGTGAAAGTGCCATGGATGACTTCTGAACTTCTTGAACTTATGTGAGAACATGATTTCCATTTTATAAATTAAATTCGCCCAAAACTGATCTAACTCCGACTACCACTGAAATACCTACCGCGAACTTAGGAATTTCATAAACCAACAAGTTAAGATATATAAATACAACAAAATCTCATCACCAGTCATAAAGATAATCCTTGCGAACTTTGGAAAACCATCAATGAAATTATTTCCCACTATCCAACTAAAATCACTCCTTCGTGCATTATTTCTGGAAACACCCCATGCGGCCATGCCGAGCCACGATCTATACTGACCAGAAATCATGAACGTCACGAACGTCAATCATGAACGTGTATAGGGACTAAACTTGCGAATTGAAAACAAAGTTACCTGAGTCTACCACTACTTTCCCCATTCATTCCAATTCGAAGAAGTGATGAATTAAGGAGGCTCCTCGTGAACGTGGTAACGTGAAAGGTAGCGATTGTGGGTTAAAATTACTCTTTTATATAAGAGGAAACAATGGCTGACATATATTGGAAACTGTAGGGAGCCTCCTTTATGGTGCAGCCTTCAGAAACTGAGCAAATTTATAAGTTAACAAGTCTGCTAGGCTGTATAGTGGAATTAGGGACCGGTCATTATTTATGGGAAGTGGCATCGAAGAGAAATGTTTTTTGTGGCAAACATTTTGCTGACCTAACCAATAAAAAGTCATAAATTTGATTACCCAATACCCAACCTCAATTATCAATTAAAAAATAAATACCAACCCCTGGCCAAAATTAAAACTATACAAAAGGATACCATTCAATTGTCACACTTGTCCTTTACCACTTCTGTGACATGAGTTTGATAACGGATTGTGAAATTTTCTGCACATGTAGTTTCTCTGGAGACACCATTTGACTCTTGACAAATCGGAAAATGATCAAGATAGTGACTCTGATTGATTCACATATTGTATTTACATATGACTGTTGACATTGCTTTTTAGTCTCCAATATTTAAGTGAGTCATGCTTTGGAAATGACAATAACTTTTATTACCCAACCCTTGAGTTGTTTTGTTTACACAACCCTTTTTTCTTCGGTACCACACTCCCCCCTCCCCCATAAATAATGACCGGTCCTTTAGTGCTAAACTGCTTCACGCGCCCTCCCTCCCCGATGGTCGACTTGAAGCAAGTCTACTGGCGCCATTGATCTACGGAAAGTATTCGACACAGTAGATCATGCATGCATGCAATCTTAGAGGAAAAATTAAAATCGATTGGATTAGCTGTACATCCATTCTTAAATGGTTTAAATCATATCTACCGAATCGTACTCAAGTAAACATCATCATGCAATAACTCAAGAAAATGTCACCGCCTAGATCAGTTACTGTTGGTGTTTGAGTGCAATACGATGTTTTACTGGGACGTTTTCTTGGACCTCTTCTCTTCCTAATTTACATTAATGACCTACCTGAATACCTCAATCAGTGGCGTAACGCTCATTGGGTAGGGTTAGTTCAAAAACTAAGGGCCCCGACAGTTAGGGGCCCCATCAGCCACGGCCTATCGCTCAGAAAATTAGAAAACGTAAAAAATGCAGGAAAATGTGAAAGCTAAATAATACGTGGAAAATGCAAAATTAATAATGCTAAATAATAAACTATAAAGCCTCCATCAACAACGGCCGGTAGCTGATTTTTTTATTCCATCATCTCAAATAAAAACAAAAGTTATTCTTATTAGTTGTTACATGTGTTGGAGACTGTTATTGTTTTTGTTATAGACACGGAATTTCAAGAACATTCTATAAATATTCAATATAAATATAATATCTCAGTCAAACAATGACAACAGTCAACAGAGGTCCCCACACCAAATATGCCTAAGGCTAAGGACCCCCTCTTTCTCCGTTACACCACAGGCCCCAACCACTGCAAGTCATTACTTTATGCTGATGTACACTTCTTTACTATTCTGCAGTTTAATATCTTACTCCGACCTGCAACCCCTCTCCACTTATCTGAACCACAACCTCCTCACACTCAATCATGACAAGAGGCACAAGACGAAATTTATCATTTTTGCTGATAGACAACGTACGTTTAAAATTAATCTCTAATATTAACATCACTATACGTCATCATATATAGATACACATCATTGAAAGATTTAAACAAGATATCTGGGTATCACGATCAGTGAAAATCTCTCCTGGCTTGAATATATCGAGAACTAATCGATGAGCAAGATCAGTCAAGGACTATAGGAATATCGGCGTCGAGTCAAACCATTACTACTACTAAACTTCACTAAATGCAAGTTTAGCTTTTTATATACCGTTACAATTCTACCGTCGTTCGAATACGCAGACATTATTTGGGGTGGCAAGAACAACGCTGCACTCATGAACTCTCTACAAACCTTTGAAAAGAAAGAATTTAGCAACAGAAGTAGAATGAAATAGCCGTTGGAGCCATTAAAGGATTTGCACATATATCAGCAACATCTATCAGTTTTCGCTGGTTTTCACCACGGAAATCTTGAATGTTGTAGGAAAGATTGCCAGCGACCTCCCTCCTCCAGAGAGGTTTCAACCGCTGCGTGAATTAAAGAAACGCAAGCGGAAACGAAATCGCGCCATGAGCGGATAGCTTCATTTTGTGCGCGCCTGCGTTCCTCTCTCGCATATGATTGACGAAAACCTCTCGGCAGAGGCGAGAGACTGGCAACGATCAAATGGGAATCAGGTTTAAGTAATTTCAAGCTAAGGGAGTGGTCATTATTTATGGGGAGAGGGGGTTGGGAAATGGGAGGGGGGGGGCAAACGAAGTTTTACCCTTATAAATAGGGGGAGTCAAAAAAGTTTTAATACAGAGAAAGGGGGATCATAAAAGTTTTTGAACTTAAATACCATGTCTAGAGTTCTGATTTCTATAATCACAAATAGCAAAAAAGAAGACTCTGAAAATGCTATTTCCAACGATCAAGAGACTCGAAATTTTCAAAATTTCCCTGCTCGGCACCAACCATGGTAGCGCCTCGCGATCGTGGGAGTCGGGCCCACTAAGTTTAACAAGCTTTCTACCCCCTGAATGACCCAGTTGTGGTATTTACATAAACATACCATGCAAGTACACTTAACTAATCAGATTCGGTCTATCAACGCACAATGCAACGCTGTATATCCAAAAATCTGTTTCAGAAAATGCTCACATTTCAGTTCTAGGGGTGGAAAGTGCAAAAAATTTTCTGGGGGAGAATACCCCCAGACCTCCCTACTAGTACATACGATACCACACCAAACTTTTTGTCACCAACAACCATCTGTCATCTCTTCACACTCAATATAGTATGGTCCCTTTTTGTAGATGCCCACCTCCCAGACAAGTTCTTAAAAAACCCTGTGTTCAAATCATTTCGCTGTATGAAGACAAGTCAGGTCATGGGTTAGGGTTATGGTAGGACAAATGTTGCATTGCAAAGTATAGTAACACATAATATATATTTCTTAATCATATATGGTTGAATCATGTTCACCAGGGTAAAACATCATGAGCTAGATTAAACAGATTGTCCTAATATCTAACTTTACCTTTTCAAGAAAGCATTTAAAGGATGTTTCAAGATGTTGGTAACGACAGCTACCTAGCGACCAAATGGAAACCAGCCTTAACTTAAATTAAACTGCTAGAAGGAATAGAAACTTGTGGGCATGCTCATGAATACAAATTTATTTATATGCAAATAAATTCTTTCCGTAAAGTGAGGCCCTGTTAGGGGGTACTAATGTCGCCAGTCTGAATTTCAAAACTTGTTATGTCGCGATTTGAGGAGTTGGGTATGTCCCTGTCGTTATTTCACGTCATTTAACCATGTATGCTATTTCTTAATAGGGTCCATTAACCAAAAATTCGATTGCATCAACCAGGACTGTTGACTATTTCACGATTGTGTATCAAAAACAATATATTACGAGGCGAGACATGTAGTGTTAGGAGACATAATTTACTCTACGCTTACGCCGACTTATATATAGTATACCGTTCAGTGGCGTAGTTAGCGGTCCCGCTGTCCCGCCGGGCGGGACTAACAATTTCCAAAAAAATGTGTAAATGTTTTATAGTGAAGCCAAAACCACTGCTAATTTGCTTATTCTGAAAATTTAAATATAATTATGGTAATTTTTCAGCGCTTTCATTTGTCATTTATTTAAAGTTTACGCAATATTGCTGTCTGCTCTTTGACCTCTTTGTTGTCTAGTAACTGATACCCTAGCTAATTTCCACGCAATTTATTGCTTACTCACGCTATTCGTGAATCGCATGTCTCGTGTTCCGCTGATTTTCATGTGGCGGGATACGCAATACTATCTTATACAAGAAATTCTGGTTTCTGGTTGGATAATTGGCGCAGGGCATGCCCAGAACGGTTGTTTTTAATGCCGAAGTCCCGCTATTTTATGAAGGCGGAGGTTGTTAATATTCAAACCTTTCTGCCGAAGCTTTCTGCGCGAGTATTCACGACTGTGACGGTGGTAGGTCATCATATTACTATTCATATCATATTTGATGTTGCTTTTGTGCTTTGTATACAATGGCTTCAACGAGCGTGACAAGCCTTATGGAAAGCCACAGCGGAATTTCATTTCATTCGTTGCTTTTAGCATTATATATGTGGTGCTTTTATCGTTATACGAGGTGCTCTTTACATTATACGCGGTGCGACACTTCGAGTTCGAGCATTATACGCGACGATTTTGACATATATCAAGATATATGGGCTACACGCAACATTGTACGAGGCTCTTTTAACATTATACGTGGTGCTTGAGACATTTATTTTTAATAATATACGCGGTGTTTGAGACATACGAGGTGCTTTTAGCATTATACGCGGTGCTTGAGACATTATACGCGGTCGGTATAACGTTATACGCAGTACTCAGTGCAGAAAGCAATATTTTTGCCTAGCACAGCACTTCTCTGAGCTCACACAGATCTTCTCTGGGCCAGATGGCATTTTTTGTATTTTACGAAGCGAAAATACTCCTGTTAGAGGTGTATGGAAACTTTGTTTAGTGGCATCCTTCCACCCTCGAAATCGCAGGAAATGCCATTTCCGCGGTTCTAGATTTCAAATTTTCTCGGGGGGGCATGTCCCCGAACCCCTCTAGGAAGGTCGCACCTTCGGTGCGAGGGGTCCGCCTTCGGCGGGACGATATTTTTCAGCCAGCTACGCCACTGATACCGTTCTGTGTTTTTATGATGACCGCTGATCAATGTCATCAATCACAGAAACATTTTCGATGTCTTCGATGCGTTTTACGATTTTACAAAACTGTTTTCAATATAATTTCTTACGCGTGGAAAGGTGTCAAAGGTACAAATAGCTACAAATAACGCAGTGTCGCTGTCGCATGTTAGGAATAACACGATTCGCTGTCATTTTTTGTTATTTCCAATTCGCTGTCGCAATTTTAACCAAAATTGGTTTCGCTTGTCGCCATTTCAGCTCTCCCATGTCGCCGTTTCAACGCCATGTCGCCTGTCGAAATTTACCCTAACAGGGCCTCTAAAGTCGGACTACACGAAAAAATTCTTCACTCCCAAAGTCCTTTGCGGATTTCAACAGCGTTATATTCCCCGGTGTCTTAGCATCGCTCTGCAAGCAAATTCCCGACCCCAAGGAACAGCGTAGAGAGCAAATTCTCGAGAGGGGAATGGTCTTATGGTCATTCATGGAATTCACTCATGCATAATGGTTTAGCCAGTTATTGACGATACTTTGCCTTAATTGTGGCCCTATGTCTGAAGATATATATATACCATACAATCAACTGCTTGGATCGCTATAGTGGCATTTTCGCAGCTGCTCCTGGTCTAGAGATAAATAAAATTGACACTCTACATTTCCATCTACAAAAACCCTGCAACATTTAGGTTATTAATCCTCAGGTACGTGATCACTCCAATATTGCTCAACGCTATATATCTCGATGAGATCACAGAGTAGAGACATACAGAGACGTAACTAGTGTACCCACTTTTTTTGTGCGCATGCTCGGCAAGTTACTAGATGCATGCATCTGATTGGATGACGACCTGATGACGACTCACTTTAAACTTGCTGAGCACGCGCAGTTGATCATTTTTCGCCCGGTCGCATGAAAAAAAGTGGGTACATGATAACGTAATCTTCCGCAGTGTTTACAACGGTCAGTTACGTCTCTGTATGTCTTATCTACTCTGTGATGATATTATAGTTCTGTCGTAAAAAATGTACTGTCCGTCAGGCATCACCAATTGTGTGCTCTTCCTTGAATTTAAACTCATTAATAATTCTTGATGAAAACACAACAAGACCAAATCACTACGGTGTCTTTATATATGATAAAAAATCATATTTACATAAACTTTAACTTTGTTTTTCTCGGCTTACGTAAGTTGATTTTAAAAAATTACTTCGTCAATGTCAATGAACTCATAAGATTGGTCGTTTTTTAAGCCATTTCAAACACTGAGTCTCGCAGTCTGTGCTTTATCAGAATATAAGACACTCGGCTGTCGCCTCGAGTTTTGTACTATTTAAAGCACGAGTAGGAGTGTTTTATCACATATAAAACACGACGCGTAGCGGAGTGTTTTATATGTGATAAAACACTGACGACTACGAGTGCTTTAAATGGCTTAAAAAACGACCCATCTTCTGATGAGTACATTAGCGAAGTAATTTTTAAAATAAACTTTGTCTAAACCGAGAAAATCAAAGCTAAAGTTTATGTAAATTAACATGATTTTTTATCACATATAAAGATACGACACGCTTATGATTTTTCTTTGTGTTTTGCTCCTGAATTATTTTAAAATGAGTTTTTTAAATATTTGATAAAGCACTCCGTCAACTCCGGCTCGTGTTTTAAATAGCACACGTATATATATTTGATTATTTCCTTTTTGTCATGCACCCTTATCCTTTCTATTACATCTCCGAATGGGAGATAAAGCTGCATGCGGCAGCTTTGGTAAAATAGTTCATTTCCAGGACTGTAGTCCCATGACAACCTCAGTACGCCGGTAGTCGTAAGACACGGTTACAGCTCTGTCTCTAAGATGGTAACTAGCGATATTATGCGATTTTATTATGCGAGTTAAGGCGATTTAACAAGCGAATTTTGGGCAGCCCAGTTTTATAACTGCAATTTATGATTAGGATGTTGCAGGTATTTTGTTTCTCAATCCCACAGAGCTCGAAAGATAATTCCACAGATCAGGACTTCAAACACTAATGAGTAACGAGTAATGTCTAATTTATTTATTTATTTAGCTTTGCCAACTAGGGCAGGGTCACCACAACAGCATATGCCAATTACTGTGGGCCCTTTTTTACCTAACCCGCCCTGTCAACTTTCCCTGTGGGAGGAAACCGGAGTACCCGGGGAAAACCCACGGCTTTCGGCAGAGTGTTGACTTTTACTCTTTTCACATGGGGACTGGGTTCGAGTCGCACTGAGAAAGTACTTAGTGAGACTCGAACCTGCAGCCTCAGAGGTGAAAGGCAAGTGCGCTAACCACTTGGCCACCGAAGCCCCTAATCTATCAGTGGCTTCAAATGTTTGACACAGCTACCTTAAACCATGGATAATAAAATAAATGGATTGGAAACTTCTGACGTCATTGACTGCATCGTTGTTGAAAAACGTGACGTCACGCGCATTGCGAATGTTATCAAAGTTTTCGGCATATTTGTTGTTTTGCTATATTTTCCACTTTAAAAGGGTGATCTTGAAGCGTAAACTGGTCTAATTGTTTTAAAAACATGCCTAAGCCACGACAAAGTATTCAAGGTAAATGTTTTTCGTCTTTGTTTTGTATTTTTTTAAATTTGTAGCTACGAAATTGGCGTCACAAATTTTAACGAAATTTGCGATGTATTTTTTACTGTTTAATGCTTGAAATATTTGCTAAAATTGACTGGGAATACTTAGAGTTTTCATCGTAGAATGGCGTGGTTACATTTATTTGCTCTTTGACTAAAATGTTTAGCTGTATTATTGCTAAACATGCCGTTTTTGAGAATTTGATTTTCAACTACACACGTAAAAACGCACAAGTTGTAACAAGTCTGCAAACAAGTTGTCACAAGTCTGTTCACAAGCTGTCAACAAGTTGTGTTCGCACTGCTTGTTCCCAGTTTGTTGTAATAAGTTTGAAACAAGCTGTTAACAACTTGTAACAATCTTGATGACATTATCAGCCTTGCTACAAGACTGTGCTAACAAGCTTGTTACAGCCATGATATAACAAGGATGTTACAAGGTTGTCAACACAAGGTTGTAACAATCTTGTTATATCAAGCATGTAACGGACTTGTCAGAACAACCTCGCAACAAGTCTGATAATTTCGACAAGGTTGTTACAAGTTGTCAACAAGTTGTTCCAAACCTGTTGACAACTTGTGACAAGCAGTGCGAATATATCTTGTTGACGGCTTGTTGGCAGACTTGTTACAAGATGTGAGATTTTTACGTGTGTAGGTTGAGGCATCCAACCACGCCATCAATCCCAGTAAAAACATTAGGTCACGTCAGCTAGTTTCATATCCATTTATTTTATTATCCATGCTTAAACATAACTACATCTATTTTTGCCTAATGCCAATAATTACGCTGACTGAATAATTATAATCGTTCAGGATTGCACTCATTGCAGATCCATAGGAAAAAATAGCGTTAAGACGGTTAAGTCTACTTAAGATTGGGCCGATTATAGTTCAGGGACAGATTGTATCAGGCCGGAATAAATAGTGCTATCGGCCAGATAGTGATTTTTTTAACTTTCAAGCTTTCTAAAATTTGGCGTTGATTAGTGTATAACTAAACCTATATAGATTAAACTTTAGTACTTATAAATCAAAGTTTCCTTTTATCAATTGTGGGGTCCATATCCGTGGTTTCACAGCTTTAATTTTCAGGCATTTTTAGAAAGGGTGAATCTATCCGGTGGATAGCACTATAATCCGGCCTTGGTATACAACCGGCCTCAGTTCATAACTGCATTTTGAAAATCCGAATCTTTGACTAAATATGTCTATAAGGTAATGAGTCAAGCCATTTTCTTTTGGACTAATCTTGCACGGCACACGTCACTGACATAAAAAGACATTAGACAATATCAAAGAGGCTTTCAGTTATAGGTATAATAGACATATACTATAGTATTTCTTTGAAAGGGCCTATATGGCTATGTTCGTAATTATATTTGAGCAGAAATAATAGTATAAAGAGGCGTAGATATACATAAAGACATCTTTCGTTCCATGCCCATGGTAACAATTCAATTATAATGATAAATCCTTCCTCTTGAGTCTTGTCTTCTTTTTCACAATTAAAATTAAATTATTGGCACTAATAATAATATAACAAATATTTTTGGCATGACCTGACTCAATACAGCATAGCTATATATATATATAAAATGGCGTTCCTTGGCTTTGCCAATTTCGTGCGGTGCACAGCTTGTTATTTATGAAACAGTCAAATATTTGTACATCTGCTTAGGCTTAGCTCAACGATTTCAAATAAAAAAACGCCTAAATATTTGAACTGATCATTCTTTGTGTTTGCTGAAGGTGTGTTCCTGTGATAACGCATATTCATAGATATTCAGGTTACTTGCGTAGGAGTGATTAAAGAATTAAAAATGGATTGAAGTAATGCCAGATAAACTTAAAAATAGTAAACAATGGTGTTTTTACGTCGAGAACCTAATTTAAACACAATATATCAATGAGTGTTATAAAGTCGTCACATAGAGAGGATCGAGTCAAAAACAAACCACTTGACGAAGAAGAAAGACCATACAGACGTCAAAGCATTGCAGCTAGTATACTGTAAACTTGGAAGTATATTTTATAGGTAATGTAGAATAATATAATATATAAAACTTTTATAACTTATGTAGTATATAAAGCCTATGAGGTCAAATGAGAATGAAAGTTGGCAGTCATGCACGAATTGTTACAGGGGACATTTCAAGCTCTAGACTATAGAGCGGCACTAACAAAGTATAAAAGTTTGATGAGTGTTCCAATAAAAGACATGCATGATAGCCTAGTGTTGGGAAAGCTTTATTTAAGACTGCATGACAGCTAACTATAAAGTTGCCGCGCGTGACTGCCAACTCTCATCAACTTTCATCCACGTTTGACCAACTATAATATTGTAAGACTATTTATTTATGAATTAAGAACGGTTGAGTTTATGGTCGGAACTATACCTGAAACATATCTACAGAAAACTTGAATCTTGATATTTCCAGTGAAATTCCAAGTTCAGTTAATAAACAATCCTTCACTGAGATGGTTCCAACCAAATATCAACAGTTTATGAAGACACCTGTAGCTCACGGGACTTTTGCGTTAAATCATAATGATTAATGGAATAAATTGCCAGCGGGCAGTGACAGTGCATGTCTCTTGACAAAGCTTTATAGGTCACAGAACCACATCACGCCCAGACTTGTATCCAACATATTCTAGCTCTTATCAACTGGGCGATATATCTGCAGTAACCAATGATAGGAATGGAAGTACCCAAGTTTGTAAAGTGTCCTGAGTGTGATGGAAAATACAATGACAAGAAGAAAAGAAGAATCATTGATTCCTGTGGTCATCCAAGATGCTTTTCCTGTCTAGTGCTTGACAATCAATGTACTGTTTGTAAAAGTAAGTGAAAGGTTCTTATGTTATGGTCAGCTAGAAAAATCAATATCATACTAAACCATAAGTAGTCGAGATATGGTCTGAAAACCCGGTAAATTAAGTGTATACAATGAGTTACGATATTATAAATTGTGACGACTTGGTCTAGCGCTAGTATGCGTTTGTCTTCATAATTATTCCGCATCGGCTCCCAAACTCAACTTACGTTTTATTCTTAGTACTCGTGACGTCGTGTTCTTTATTGTTGTAGAGAAAGACGGGGGATTATTAAATGTAATTGCTTTTATTCCATGGATAAAGCGTTTTGCTATAAGAAAAAGTTATAAATAGTTACTTTGTTCTTAAAGATTTTAATATAGGGTGTCCCAAAAAATGCACTACAAATTCTACATTTTGTGGTATTACATGCATCTACAACGGTAGCTTTCAGATTTTTATGCTGGATGAAAGAACTATCCTGTCGTTTTAATCCATTGACTGATCAAAGTAAAAAACCGTTCGGTTCAGTTCATTATTTTAATAAGTCAAATATCAATGGATTGAAACAATAGGATAGTGTTTTTATGCAGTACAAATTAAGATACAGTACAAATTAAGATCTGTCAAAGAATTCTGCCAAAGCTAATGTTGGAATAGCATAAAACATAGTGGGTGAGTGACGCATTTTTTGGGACACCCTATATAGCACCGATATGTTGTTCACATGAAAAAGATAGGTTTAGTGTTTGTTATGAGGTCACCGATTCTTGTCAGGTCTAAATATACATACTGCATGATTTTTACTCGAATTTTCCGCATTCACAAAACCATTCAACCAAAGTATGAGATCATAGTTACGTCAAAGGAAGACGAATGTCTGCATAGATTATCAATTTAACGTTTACATTCACAGGAAAACATGAAGATCTGCACATTGTCTTTTACGTTAATTAATACATACTCATGCAAGGCCTTGTTACACTAGGCAATTTTTGCTTCAACTTGCAACGTAATTTTTGGCGCGGAGTCATATTATATTATATTATTAATATAATGTAAAACGTATTCACAGTAACATTGAGAACTTGCTGCGCATTTTACATGAATCAAAATGAAAAATATCAGAAAGGTGAAATTCGTTGCAATGTTGTAGCAAGTTGTAACAAAAATTGCCTCCTGCAACATGGTTTTTAGCAAAATTAAAAGTCTAGATACTTACTTGATAAGTATGGTATGGTATGGTATGGTATGGTATGGTATGGTATGGTATGGTATGGTATGGTATGGTATGGTATGGTAAAACTTTATTTAATTAAACACGCTAGCCTCGATCAACGTGAACTGCTTTTCATGAGGGGCGTCACACAATAACTATTTACAAATTAAAGAGTATACACATTAAACTATATACAAGTTAAACTACGGTTTTTAGAAAAACAAGGAAGCAAAGGATAATAGAAAAGGAATTATATAAAAACTTAACAATTGGTGCGATCCAAAGAAGGTGTTCATGCCTGACGTATTTTTCTTTTAAAAGAAGAATCAAGCATAGGTCTGTATCGCTACTACGCAAATCATAATTAGACTGACTTGTGTTTCTTTTACTTGTCAGATACTTGTCAGATACTTGCAATAACCACAAATTATGATAGTACTACAAAATGCAGAAATATACAATACGAAAGCAAAACAAGAAATAATGTAATGGATGAATAGAACACCTCGAACAGACCATTTATATTTTTGCACTACCAACTATCTCAATAATGACTTCGTAGTCTGGCGACTCAAAACGCCTTTCACCTCTGAGAGATCGTGGACTCGATTCTCGCGGTGGACTCAGGACTCTTATGTGAAGATTTACACAACGCTCAACCGAAAATACGGGTAGTCTTAGCCTTGTTCCACGATCGGCCTTTTCGCTTCCGCCTTATTATTTTGGGTGGTACTTTGACAAGGTTAGCAGGTCGAGGGACTCTTCCGGGTGTGTTGGCATAATCCCAATTAACCTTCCCATCGCGTTTCGTGATCAGACATAAGTCATACGGTACCAACCAGAACCACCCATAGAAAGCCTTCGACTCGATTTAGGCTGAGCTGCGTCTTTCATTATTCAGCTCAGCTCTCAGATGCAAGTAAGGATGATTAGCACACCCTCTACATACATATTAAAGCATGTACCTGTTAGATAAGTTTCCTGAATTTTTCCATACTTTTCAGCAATTCTCAGTAGACGCAGCAGTTGGAAAAGCAGTCGTGACTCACTGTTAAGCACAGATGACAGCCAGGATGAAAGTAAATCAACTCAAGGTTCAACTCCTGAATTGTTTTCTAAAGGTACCAAACCACAACAGGATCAAGTTATATAGAATTTCATTTTATTGACGTCGTTCATCCGTTTTCTCTCTAGAACAATATCTCAGAAGGTTGTACAGTTACGATCCTGAATCATCAGGTAATTTATATCGATTGTAACTGCAGTATGACCAGTGATATAGCACTTGAGCCCAGAGGCCTGGACATTTTAGCTACAAATCTACAACCAACACCTAACGTTCTTTAATGTGGTAATCCTACGAGTAGTCATCTTGCATGCTAATGTAGTAATTAACCTCGCACTTTATAAACAGTTTGTACGAATGATTGTACAACCGCATTTAACCATAGTAGGATCTTATTTTTTGTCAAAATTATCAGTGCCAGTGGACGGATAATTCCTTCCAATGGCCCCGTTGCCTTTGTTTTGAAAGCCCTACTACATCTACTGAGGAATTTCTTTTCTATTTCTGCGAGAAAGTACTATATGGGCATTCCATTGCTAAATCTGGTAAATTTTTGATGTACTGAAATTCTCAAAAAAATTCGTTTTAGAACAAGTTATTCGGCGGGGCTCGTTTGATCTTCATACAAGAAAACTTCAGGATAGACGAACCAAATTAGGACAACATTCAAGTTCTGCACTAGGTGAGAAGGATAATAAAGACGTCAATTGTCAATGTTGTTGCAAAGATAGATGGGAACCAGCCTGGTTCCATAGCTGGTTTCCCTTGACAGCGCGGCAGGGGCTGGGCCCGCTAGTTCCCCAAAAGCCCACGTCAAGATATATCGACTGCAAACCAGAAACCGTTTATCTTCTCTGAAAGGAACCTTAACAAAACATAATTTACAACACTTGAAATATTTTATTATCCATAATTATTCCATACTTATGCATTTATATTTACTCCTATTTTAGTTCTTCCAAACGAGATTCAAAATTCAAGTCCAACATTAAGAAGGATTGGATCACCAAGACGAAATTCTCTACAAGAATTTCTCTTTCCCAGAAAAATATCAGCAGAAGACATGCAAATTTTCAGTTCCTTGCCCAATGCCAATGTGACTAGTTCAAATCAAGGCACCATCAAGGGTGAAAATCAACCAATGCAATCAGGTGATGACAATAGTACCACTTCTCGAGTGATATCACCACGTAGTTCTGGATATTGGTCAGAAATGGAATATTATAGCGATCAAGAGGGAAATGTTTCTCAGAGTAGGAACACCGACCTGGACGACAACAACAAAAACAACAACAACGATAACGATAACAACAACGATAACGACAACAACAACAGCAACGGTAACAACGATAACAACAACAACGACGACGACGACGACGACGACGACGACGACGACGACGACGACAACAACAACAACAACAACAACAACAACAACAACAACAACAACAACAACAACAACAACAACAACAACAACAACAACAACAACAACAACGGCAAAGACAACAACGGTAACGACAACGACAGAAAGGAAAATAGTCTACTCCATGCAGACATGGAATTGGAATCCAAGAAGAAAATTAGGAATCGAGTTTCTGAAACTACAAAGAGAAGCCATTCCCACGGAGAAACTGCATCAATAAAAGAAATAAACGAGGATGTAGATGAACGAACTAAAACAGACTTTGTGTTATCTGGCCGATCTTGTGCGTGGCAAAACACCAAAGCATTGTTTCCTGCAGAATCTTCACGTTGGGTTGCACAAGGTGAGATACGACGAAACTCAGAACCGGATTGGAGAAAATATTTTGATAGCCATAGCAACATTAGACATTCAAGCTTAAAAGTGACAAATCTTTAGAGTGATTTACCTCTTTCTGGAATTATCTTTACTTGACTTCTGTGTACTGCATAGATTAGCAGTTAGCACATTTAATTTTTATGGTGTGTTTTTCTTTAACTATAAATGTAGTTAAATTGACAAATTAAAATCAGTTAACCTTGTTTACATCGTTTTTAACAAATATACAACTTTGGAAAACTCACGTGCCTAGTTACTATTGTTCTGGTTTACGAAAACGTAGAACAGAGCAAAGGTAAATGAGCATTAGAAACAAATCATCACTCAACCATATGCAAACTGAATAGAACGTCAAGAATAACTTGTCACGTGAGTTATAGCAAATAGTGAATTAGGTATAAACAATAATTAGCTTATCACCTTTGGTTTGTGGAAACACCACGTATTAGCTTCATCTATACGTTACGAAAGCATTAGAATACAGAGGTTCCTGATTTCCAAACAAGTTGTAACAAATGCATCTAAGTGTGCATGCGAATCACTTGACCATCTTGCAAATAAAGTTCCATGATTAAGATTAATGAATACCGAATATCGTGGGAAAATTTCTGCAGGACACATTCTGTTTTGCTTTCCCATCATTTCTAAGATGTAAATCTTACAAAGAAGACAGATTGTTTGTCAAATAGCAAAACAATTTTGGCATATTACATCTACAAATTATATTTAGATAATTAGAGTTAGAAGCCTTTATATGAAGTCGAAGTTTGGATGAAAACATTTCGTATTAATCCTTTCTCAGCGGTATCAGATGACATGCAGTAGTAATATTTCAATTCTGAAAATGAGGGTCTCCTAGGGGAGGGGGTCTGTGTTCCCCGTGTTCATTTGATAAGTTTGTTTCCCACAGAGATCACCATGTTCCATTGTTCCCACAGCTTACATGTTAGTTTATTCCCTATTTTTTTTTGTTTTGTGCTCATTGCAAAATCTATTCCCTAAAACCTGCTTGGAGACCCTCAAATGTATGGTTTGGGACTACACGCAGCCTACCCTCAATGAGGACAGTAGCCCGTCTAGATATAGCTCAGTATATGAATAACAAAAGCAGAAATTCGATATCCCAGAAACGTCGCCATCAATGAAGAAGATAAATTATAGTCTTCTTTTGTGCAGCTGAGTTGAATTGTTTTGCATATTAGAAAACCAAGTTAATCCCAAAGGGTAATTATTGCTTTGGCGCATGAATGCGACGAAGTCATTCAAAATTTAATTATATGAAACGTTCTCTGGCTCCAATAAAAATATTCCTGAACCTCGCACAACAAAGTTATATATAATACAGTATTATAACAGTGGATCTACAGTTTGATATTTGTGTAAGCATTCAAGGTAATAAAATATTGCTAATGGGCTATTTATTCAAAGTAAGCTCCTGACGTCACGCAAATCTTTCAAAACTACGAGCGGCCAATTAGCCAAACTTTGAACTCTCAAGAGCAATGTAAACTAAGAAACCGGTAGCTCTGTAGGAAATCAGACCGTGCCACCTTGATGAACAGTCCAGAGATGATGTGAGCAGCAGAGAATAAGAGGTTGACAATTTCGAAGCAATGTTTACACAGAAAATGCTGTAAAGTCATGGAATCACCAAAGTTTATAATTTGTCCTGAATGTAATGAACGATACAACGACACAACGAAAAGAAGGTTGATTGATACATGTGGTCATCCTAGATGCTATTCATGTCTTTTTAAAGACAATCCTTGTCCTGTTTGTACAAGTAAGTTTCGTATTTTAGGGATATTTCCCATTTGCTCCGTTTACGTCATACATTAATATTTCAGCAAAGAGGCTATTCAATATTATCTGGCATCAGTACCTTTTCTATAACAGCGGAAGTCTCTTTTAGTGGAACATTCGCTTATACAGTTACGTTGTTAGCACTCGCTTGTACAGTTACGTAACGCAAGGTTCCCTATACAGTTTTAATTTTATACCTTGCTTTTTTTTTAAATGCATAAATAAAAATATATCTGTACAAGTATTTCTACATGGCGCCAATATAGTATCATCAGACATCATTGTTCTCATTGTGTCCCATGTTAAATTTGCCCTAGCAGGTGGAATGGCTAAGTGTATAGTAGAGATTATTGATTATTGGAAAAATACAAATGAATTGTAATGCACAAAGGTACGTGAGATCGTGGGGTCAAGCTATATGCGTCTTGTTCATGAATGTTCTTCCCTATAAACTCCATGATTTATGGAAGATTTGTTACATCATTCCATACTAGTTAATGCAACATGAACATTCAACGTAACAATATTCAATAATAACCTTGAAAAATTCCCATGTTCTATATTACAAGGACTACTCTGAAACAGACTGTATATTAGTCGAGTATATACCTATAGATTAGCCAATAGGTGAAAGTGCCGTTCTCTTATTAAGATGCCTACATATATTATATAATTGCATGATTACAATATTGGTTGCGAGGCAATCCTGAGGATTATAGTACATATTTCTACATTGCCGGATATTCTGTCTTTAAGTAGCTCCAGTCCAGAAAACGGTATACTTCCGATCAATCATATATTTGCCGCATATTGGCCTCAGATCAATCATATATTTGGAATCTTCCCGCTTTGTATTCCCAAATAGCTTTACTAGCTTTAAATGCATTTGATAACGTTATACTTATGCGAGCCAACATTAGACAAGCATAGAAAACTGTTCTAACAGTCTAGAAACAAGTCTAAGCGGTTTAAACATATTACTAACTGAATTTGCCCTCCATAAAACATTCCTCGAAAGCTAGGGTAGGGTTACTATGCGAGCAATTAAAGTAGAAACACTTCGTTTCTGTCGTTCTAAGTCATCTTTGTAGATGCAGTGTCAGTGAATATAAAAGTATATTATAAAACAACAATTCTTAAAGATTTTGAAAAATATCCCCTTTGTACTGTCTTTCATAAAATCAAACTATCCTGCACAATTTCAAAATTTAGTAATATTGAGTGAAATGTGAATAAAACGATGGATTAAAACCGTTGCATGGTTCATGGTGTAATAGCATTCCTGCTTCATTCCATTTGGATCATAAGGAGCTTTCATGCTTTTCTTCCAGGATAGATTAGATTCATGGAGACTTAGGATATGTAAATAACGTGCACAAGAAACAATATAGAGGATTTTAAAAGGATTAAGACCAGGGAGGGAAAAATACCGGATATTATATTTTCCGAATTAGTGCAAAATCAAATACGTTGATTTAGCATACAATATAAATTCCAACGCGGTAACGATTACAAAATATTGCAGATTCGTGCTACTATATTTGTTTAAAGTGGTGTATATTAGAAACCCGACATGCAAGACACTTTATAAATCGTTATACTTGCTTTTCCTATGACATATTCATGTTCTATAGCAGCGCAGTTAACGGGTCAATGCATGACAATGCTATCATTGAAAATAACAACCTCAAATTTTCATAACGTCATAAGGTGACGTCATCAGCAGATAAACTATTTCCTACCAAAAGATTTTTGTGGTCAGGAAAATACGTCTTCTTGCGAGGTGTCTCAAACACAATGGTAAAAACAATGCTTCATCCCAATGGGAAAACTTGTCCCTAGGGAAATGGTATTAACTTGGCATTAAGGTAGCGTCGCCAACCTCGAAAAGGCTTTAATCACGGGACTTTTCTGATAGGTCATGCAGTGAGTGGCTGTGAAATGACTACAACATGTGGAGAGCTTCGTGTTAAAATTTGCACTTGTGCCGATTATGCATTATTGCATGCACGCACAAATGATTCTTTAATTTGGAAACCAGCCTTTTTCATCAAAACGGTTTTACACTATAATTGTACTCTGTCCACGAAAATTTGTAAAAGGCTTTAAGCCCTGATCAAACAAGAAGGAAACTGAAAAGTAGAAAACTAAATATAAAACTAACAAATAAACTACTGATATCAACTTTTCTTATACTTGTGTTAAGCTGCATAATATTTTAGCATGATACTAAGAGCGTCTAACCAAGAAAAGATGAAGTCAATTCATTTACAGTTTGCATTGGCTTGGTCTCCTTTATTCGGATTTTATAAAGGTGCTTCTTTGAAAATGCGTGCACCATATGTGATAGATCAACGGTGTTAAACTACTCAAAATTAACTTTCACACAGCAACATAGCTCGCGTTCATGAAATTTCTGGATTAAACTGAAGATAAAGAGAATGGATCAGGGTTATTGTGATTTATTATTGGCATGAGTAAATATTTGCATTATAACGTCACGCCTATGGAATGGCAGCTTTTAATATGTGCCAAACTACTGTATTGTGAACCAGGCACGCAAATCTAAAGGGTTGGGGCGGGGAGATGTTCACCTACTTTTTTGACACAAGAGGGTTTATCCGTTTTTCTCTAGTTAATTTAGTTCTCATATGTAAATAGTGGTGACATTATACTTTTATGTTCGTAAATATTATAGTAAATAGCTTACTATGGTTAATTTCCCTGGTCAATAGACCCATTGCACTTGACGTCACAGCGCCAGTAACGATGCATCTGGAGGACAAATTAGCAATCTACGCATAATATAACTTTTGTAAACAAAGCAAATTTTGTAAAAGTTTATAATAATTTTGTATTAAAATGGTTAATTTTTGCGCTGTATGTGCATGGTTGTTGTACCCGAACAGATATTGTTAGGTAGCATCTGGAGGACACTCTAAGGATTTGTGACGTCAGTGCAAAGGGTCTATAAAGTTTTACTATACGGTACTTACTTAAATTACTTGCTTTGCTCATTCCATAATAATGAAAATGATATGAAAAGCGAGCATTTTTAGATATTATTTATCCACAACTTGTTGTCAAACAACGAAGGAAATAAAGTCGTAGGTATTCGCAAACAAGATACTCATCATGATAAACTAATTAAACGAGCATCAACATTTACGATTTACGATTCATCTGCGCAAGTCCGATGCTGAACGCCCAAGTTTAAAGTGCATATGACATGAATATGATTATTTTCTTGAATGAAA